GAACAACCTGTCACAAAAAGATAACATTCCGGCGGTGGTTCGTCCACCCGAGGGCACTCCGATGATCAAGTCAGTTATCTCTCAAAGATAGCAAAAGTGCTTAACTCACTATTCAGAATACAAAAAGCATACCTTACACCCACGATGGTGCCTCTCTTTTATAGTCAATACTGATCTAATCCCAATAGAAGCCTAGTTTCAATGGACTCTGCCTCAATGCTAATCCTGGACTCCCAGTTAGATTAGGATAAACTCTTTAAAAGTCTTAACTTTATCCAAACTGAAGTTCTCTCCCAATCTAGGACTCTTGTCCCTTAGCCGCCTATCCCGGATTCCGGTATCTTCGCAGATAACTTCAGCCTAGCCGAGATTATCTCGACGTTATGACCAAGACACGTGGCACCTCGACTTGGCACTTCCGTGCCACCTCGGCTATATGTTGTCATTCAAAAATATATCCCCACAAATTAAGAATATAGGCGGATGAAATCCGATTTACATATAATTGGGATGCTATACTCAAATTAACCCAGCCGCCTACCACTATTATATACTCCAAAAATCCTAGAGATCTTTTTTTTTAATTAATTTTTTAATTAAACACTCACATAGATGTAAATCTTACACATTTATGAGTCTTTAGTAAAAAAATTAATGAAAATTTTTGTATCATAACATTAAACCATTTAGATGCCCTAAAATAATGTAGGATTTTATTGCGTGTATTTTAAGAATATTTGTTAGTAAGTTTTGAATGATTGTTATTTTTATAATAAAAAATAATAATTTAAAATTATTTTAAACTTTATTAACTAATGTAAAGCACTCGTTACCTTTAATTGATCATTGACTAAAAATTCACAAGCTTTTTAATGGATTTAAAGCTTAGAAAATCAAAACTTTGATTTCATCTAATGTTATGCCACGTTATACTCATGTTAGCGTACGTATTACGCGAAAAAACTCCGTTCCGTTCTATTAATTTAATTATTACAACTTTATTTTAATTTTTAATATGACTCTCAATGTAGGTATATATAAAATATTTAAAATACCTATTTTCATTACATTTAATAATTAAAATATTTATTTATTTTTTTGTCAATTTTACCTAACGAAAATAGACAAATAATTTAGATTAAAAATAAATAAAAAAATTCAGTATTTAAATTGACAAAATTAAAAAATCAAGGCTTATTTTGTTACAATGGTCAAATCCTATGATTTTTTTTTTGTGCGAAAAAACTCCGTTCCGTTCTATTAATTTAATTATTACAACTTTATTTTAATTTTTAATATGACTCTCAATGTAGGTATATATAAAATATTTAAAATACCTATTTTCATTACATTTAATAATTAAAATATTTATTTATTTTTTTGTCAATTTTACCTAACGAAAATAGACAAATAATTTAGATTAAAAATAAATAAAAAAATTCAGTATTTAAATTGATAATATTAAAAAATCAAGGCTTATTTTGCTACAATGGTCAAATCCTATGATTTTTATTTTTTTTTTTTGAGTTGTAATTTTCTCAATTTTTTATAATTATGTCAATGTAATTCAGTCAATTAACATGAGTTGAAAAAAGCAAGGATCCTATTATATTATTATTGTGTACTTTTTAATTTAAGTAATTTTTTTATATTTAAGCTAAGAAAATGGTAGTTTAAATAAAAGAACAAAATGGAGAAATTGTCATCTTTAGATGAAGCTATCTATTTACCATTTTAAAAGCAAATTATCATTTTGTCCCCAGAAAGATTAAATAATTTCACCAGGTGATTTTCTCTCTGTATTTACAATATTATAATCTTAATTTAAATATTAAAATTTCATTTAGAAAGGACACGTTATTTATTATTATTTTAAACTTGTTGAACAACATTAATTTAATTAGGTGAATCAGGGAACTTAAACATAAAATTCAAAATTCAAATGTCAAATTAAAACAAAATTGAAAGGAGTAATTGATGTTTCACCTTATTTATATAGACATTATTAAAAGAGAAACATTAGAAGTTTAATCCCATGTTTAAAAGAGAAACTTCTGAGTTGAATCCCATGTTTAAAAAATAAAACATAAAAAATAAAAAGTAATGAATTGATAAGTTGAATTTATATAATAATAATAATAATAATAATAATATTAGATACATAGATCTCGTCACGCATGCGGATGGCTCGATGCCATATCAAGTGGGGTGGGGGGGGATGTGATTTCCTGGTTGTTTCCTTTCAAACACTCCAACTACTCCTCCAACACTAACTCTCTCCCTCTCCCTCTCCCTCTCCCTCCTTCATTGTTCATAAAAACAATACCCAATTTCGAAAATTTGCTGAAGTTTGTAACACAAGGCACCCAAACGACTCTGAGATGAAGAAGGATGCTAGTATTATTATTTCAACAGCAAATGTGAATGTGAATGTGAATGCTAATGAAATTGACGAGAGCAGCCGGCGAGAGCTTCTCCCACCCACCAATTTCATCGAATTCGATAGCAGTCGGAGAGAGTTCCTCCCTCCGACCGTTGACCTCCTCAATTTTGAAGGTGAAGGTGACGGAGATGGCCTTGGCGAACAGGCGTCGTGGAAACTCAACGTTAAAAATTTCAGTTTGGTGCAACAACAACAACAACAACAACAACAACAACATCGGCACTCATCCTCCAATTGTTTGTACTTCCGGCGCCTCTTTCGCACTCCGAGTAAACTTTCTTCCCCCACAAATCACCTCCCTCGCTTTTCCAAAACTACTTACTCATCATCATTTATTATACTATTATTTATTTATATATCTATTATATATGCATATGCATATGCATTCATTTGTGTGATTCTCTCTCTTTCTCTCTCTCTCTCTATAACTTTTGTTAGACATGAACGTTCTTCTATCTATCTCGCGAGTATCCCTTATGTTTTATTTATTTATTATTTTATTTTATTATTTTTTTGCCGGTGGCTATTCTTGCTTGTTTAGACCTAATAATAAGTTATTTAAATATGATACTGCCTTGCCTTCTCTCTATCTCTGGTGTGTGTTGCTCTTGGCTTTTTGACTTTAATCAATCAGTGACCAATCAATAATCGACTTGCTAGTTTTGGACGTCCCAGCAACATCATCAACATGAACTTGGTCTCTGATCTTGTTTACTCTTTTTTCTACTAATTAATTTCTTAAATGATTGTTGTTGATAATTTTTTCATTGGATTTCCCTTTTTTCTTTTTTCTTTTTTCTGATGATGATGATGATGGTAGTTGAGGAGATCTGTGTGAATAGTTTGGAGTTGAAACTTTTGGTTATTGGGATATGGTGGATATCCAATTTTAGTTCAGTTTTTAGGGAAGGTGGGAGGGAGAAACCTCCAATGCAGACAGAATATGCTTGCTTAGGCTGTTCAAAAAAAAATATGCTTGCTTACTGTTGTGTTGTGTTGTGCTTAATTATATATAATACTCTCCCTCTTTTTCTTCTCCTTCTCCTTCTCCTTCTCCTTGTTTTTAATAAATAAGGTATAATTAAGGTATAACCCAAGTTTAGTGTACAAGTTGAGGCAGATTAGAAAAAACTTTCTTGGATTCTTCCATCAAGAGCCAGCCAGGGGGGACACATTAGATATATACACTAGTGGCGGGACACAGTATATCAGTATTGTGGTGACAAATTACTATTTAGGGTTGGTTTGGGTAGTGGGTTGACTTTTTAGTTTTTTGATTTTTTTTTGTTATTTTAGTCTGGGTTAAAATGCTTGGTTTGGAAAAGGCTTTTTGGCTTTTCGACTTTTTTAACTTTTTTTGTGAGAGAATGGTGTAATAATTATAGGTCGGATGTGATGTTTTGTTTGTTGTGACTGAAATAGCTTATTTTGTCTTTTGTGGCTATTTTAGCTACAAACCATCTTCCCAAACGGACCCGAATAGAAAATTTAGAAGTTGTTTGGGATGATTACACTTTTTGATTTTTTATGAAATATGAGTTGGGTTTGGATTGGTTTTAAGGGATGTGTTAGAGAAGTGATGTGACTTTAATAAGATAGTAACTTTTTGACTTTTTAAATTTTTTAAGAGTTGCCAAACTTAGGGTTGGTTTGGCATAAACTAAGGCCAAGTTTGGCATATGAGAAATAATCCATCTTTTTATCTTTTTTCCATCATATCACATCTCTACTTTTCTGCACATCTTTTCGTAAAAAGACAAAAAGTACACTTATTTAGGTCATCCCAAACAACCCCTAAACAATACAAAAAGTCAAAAAGTCACTGTCCTATTTAAGTCACATCATCTTATTTAAATCACATCACCTCTCTAACACATCACTTCAAACCCACTTCAAACCCAATCCATATAAGCTAATAAGTCAAAAAGTACAATTTTTTAGAACATTCCAAACTAACCCTTAGCCTTACAAATATGAAAATTGCATCACCCATAACAGAGGGAAATAAACTCAAGGTCCCTACAAAGGAAGATAAATAGTTAATATATATTTTAACCTTAGTAAGGATTGTTAGCCACCCCTCTAATCTCTCTATGCTTTGCGGATATATCAGATCATATAAGAGTGTAAAGATGGTTTTTTCAGTGTAAAGGAGGGATGAGGGGGGTATCTTTGGATGAAAAATGTGATTGATCCACCGGTTGGAAATGCTTGTACAATACAACTGACCATGTTTGGTTTTAGGAAATTAAGCTCACTTCTCAAAAATTTGAGTTTTTTGTTGCTTGTAATTTTTTTTATTTTTAGTGAATTTTTTAATATTTTATGTAATTTTTTTATTGGGAAAACTACCAATAAATCCCATAAGTTGATCTTATGATCCATTTGGTCCCAATTTTAATCTAATGTCCCGTTTAATATTTATAAAAAAATTTAAAAATTCACCATCACCAAATATAAAAAAAAAAAAATTTAATACATTTTCATATTTTGTTTTGTTCAATGAATTTTTAAAAGATATTTGTATAAATTTTTACTTTTTAAATATAGTCCCGTTTGGTCCTGTGTTGGGTGAAAGGACGTATTTGCCACAGTGGTTAATGTTTCCGTTGTTCGCGGATGGAAATGGCAGTGTTGTTGGCGCGTGAGGCAACGCGGGTTGCAAACTGTGTGAAGATGAGGACAAGTGACACGTAATAGCGTGTCACATATTGGCAAAGCGTACTAAGGGGTTTTGTAATAGTAGTAGAGTTTATTTGTAGTTGTATGTGGCACACATTCGGGTTTGCCCATTTATCCGAAATACAACCCGTTTCACAACTCATTTCATACATCCACATCCCCACATGTATAAACTGGTAACTCGTTTCGTATTTCCCACAATGAAGAAACCCTAATATAGCGATTTCGTGTATTCGATAGATTTCGATTGAACGCAAATCCCGTTGCGTGATTCGGGGGAGGGAGGAGCGATACTGAAGCGTGTTTGCAGCGTTACGTTGACTGAAGATTTGTGTGACATTGTCGGGCGTTCAAAGTTTCGGAACCATATTCTCAGGTTTTTGTGTTCGTTGGGTTGTCAGACGTCTGCAATGGCCGAACAAGGTATGTCACGTAACATTGGTTTTGAAATATTTTTTTGGGGTTTTGTTTAGTCGACGTATTTGGTGTTTGGTGTTTTTGTTTGGATTACCGGTATGATTGGTTGGGGTTATGTGTAATCGAGCAGGTTTTTTGGGCGTGTGTTTTGTTTTAGGGGGTATTTGCGATGTGGATGTTGGGCGTGTGGTTTTGGGTTTGTGGTGGGATAGTGCGGTTGTGTGTTTTGTTGTTATGCGTAGTTGGTTTCTTGGTTGTGATTGTGATGATGTGTGCTTTTTGGATGGTTGTGTGGCTGGCAGTTGTGGTCAATGTAGTTGTAAATATAATATAACAAAAGTTGGGACCACAGGAAATGGTATGTTTTTTGTAGTGATTTGTCCTGCATATGTAGTGGTGGGATCCCCAATTTTTTTTTGGTGTGGCAGACAGTAAACGGGAATAGTTGTGGTGCTGGTACGCTATTATGTTATTTTGTGAATTTGTGCATTATATTAATGGTTTTGGAGTTAGGTTTGGGCAGTTGGTTGGTTATGTGGTTTATGTTATTGTGTGTTATATTATTGTGTGTTTTGATTGTTGTGTGGATGTGGGTTGGTGTTTTGGTAAACTGGATAGCGTTTGAATGTGGTACATGGGTGTGCTGGTATTTGGTTTTGTGTTGGTTTTTTATTTCTCTGTAATGACTGCTGGATGTGGTTGTGTGGGATGTATGTGATTTGAAATGAATGGTAAATCTGTTTGTGGTTTTGTTTTTCAGAGCGCGATATGGTAAGGAGTCCGTGGACACGTTCATGTGAACGTAAACGTGTTGAGGGGCAAACGGGGTCACATGCAAACAACCTTGGAGTGAAAATGCAGGGGCGAATCCTATTCAAGCAAGCTAAAATAAGAAAAAGTGAAGATACACGGTCTGTGGGTAATCTTGTAACGGGGTGCCAGCCTAAACACAACACGAGGATGAATTTCCGTTCAAACATTGCAGGTATAGTGAAGCTTGTGAGTTTGGCAAACCTGCAGGAGGGACACTTGAATCAGTTGAGAAGAACACCATTCTGGGTTATGATAGAGGCGATACACGTCAACAAGTTGATCCATAACGAATTCCGAAAGTGTGATGAGTTAATCTGCAAAATTATAAAGGCATACAATGAGCGGGAGAATGCATTCAACATTGGAGGTTCAATGGTGAAAATTGGTACTAGTGACATTAGGTTAATCTTTGGATTACAATGTGGGAAGAGGCGCATGGACTTGTCACCTGGACAAAGACCAGCATCGGACTTCATTCAACGTAGGTGTTCTGGAACTTCACGCCTAACATCGAAACTAGTGAAGACGTTATTTTTAGAGGCTGTTAGTGGTCATAGCAAACAAGATGAGGAAGACGCTGCGAAGTTATTAGCGCTGTACATTTGTGGGAAGCTTTTTTTTGCCAACTCCGGCGAGACAATAAGTTGGACATTTGTTCGGTATTTGAACAATCTGAATACCGTACGGATGTATGACTGGACAGGCGCAATCTTGTCAATGTTGATGGGGTCAGTCAAGGAGTTTCATAAAACGCCGGGAAAGGTGACTGGCTGCGTGGTTGCGTTGCTGGTAAGTGTGTGACTGAATGTTTTGTGGTTATTGTCTTGTATGTGTGGTTGGGTTTATTTGTACGTTTAATTGCATTGTTGAATTTTGTTATGTGTATGTCACAGTATTGGTTGTGTGAACATTCGACAATAGTGGAGCCTGACACCGAAAACATGTTTCCAAGGTTCCTTAAATGGGGCATTGGAACACTGCTGAACAGAGCGCAAGGGGTAGAATTTGGTGGTGCTGTAACGTTCCAGGTATGCACGACGTTGGTTCCCAATATGGTTGTTGTGGATCTTTGTCAATTGTAGTCTGAAAATGACCTTTGTAATTTTAAAATCCCGTTGTGTTTGTCCGTGTGAACAGGTAAAGACTGATCGGCTGAGGTCTCTTCAGTATGAACGGGAAATGATGGGATTGGATGTCGAAGCGGCTGACAGAGATGTGGCCGACGTTGTTGACATTGGAGCACACAATATTGGCGGAGAAGATGATTTTGTTGACAAAGTTAATGTAATGAAAGAGACAGTTGATTTTGGAATGCGGGGTGGGAGTGTTGAGGCACGTGGGAAGAACAAAATTGGCAAGAGTAATGCAGGTAATGTGCGTGATCAATCAGTGGGTGTGTTCGGCGCTGGGCTGGATGTACAGCGTGAATCGAGTAGTGCAAATGAAAATTACACGCAGGTGGAGTCTAAACTAGAAGAAGCGTTAACTGCAATCACGACACTTCAGCTGCAGAACAAAAACAAGGACAATATGATATCACGCCTTGAAGAAGAGATTACTAAGTTGAAGAGTAAGAGCGATTTGCAGGCTGTGAACATAGTTGGTGGTTTTGGGTGTGTTTTGAAGATGAAAGATGAGGAGCTTCAAAAGTTGAGGAAGGAGAATGGGGAAATGCAGGTAAAAATTTCAGTACTGGAAGAACAACTGGAGGACCGCGACGTGCATGTTGTCACGCAAGCATTCCGTGACGCTGGTGATAAGCAAGTTGCTGGGGGAAGTGGCACGGGTTGCAGTGGGTATGGGGGGTCGTTTTTGTGTGATGTGTCACCGTTACGAGCAGTCAATGATTGTTCATGGCAGGCATGCAATGAACCGAATGAGGTGGAAGTGCATGATCCAATGGATGTCCAGCAGTGTGATGTGGAAGTAGAAGTGTTGCCATATGTGGGTGAAGGAGTACCGCGGTTGGGCGGGCTAAATTCGTTGGTACGTAACATTAAAGGCAAAGTCAGAAAGGAGCGGAAGTTGGCAGACTATGAGTACCCATTGTTAGGGATTCGTGATAGAAGGAGGGGATCAGAAAGCGATAATGTTGGGGGAGAGAAGCACTGTGTGATTGGTAATGCTGTTATAGATGTGGATGCAGTTGAGGTAGATGGGAAAAAATGGTCGGGATTTGATATCAACAACAGGTTAGGCGTGTGGAAGATGATGACATTTGAAGAGAAGACGAAGATCAAACAAGCGTACGATCGTAACGGCGACGGGTAAGGTTTTTTTTATTGTTTTTCTTTTGCTGGTTGTGTTGCTGTGTGTGCATCACCCTTTTGTATGGATTTTGAGAAAATTATTGTTTGTAGGGCTATTGTGTGGGCAGACCGAGGTACCGGTGTGACGGTAGACTTTTCTGATTTGAAGGGACTGGTTAGACAAAGCAGTATACGGGGCAATGTACGTTCATTTTTATCTTTAATGATTTATACGTTGCGTTTTTTAGTTGTAGAGTATGAATGAAGCAAATGGTGGCAGCATGCGATGTGGTGGGGTTTATGTTTTTTTAATTTTTTTTTGAGGCGCAGTTGTTTTGTGCAACGCAGGTGATTGATGCATATACGGAGCTGTTGAAAACTGATCAGTTGAAGGTGTTGGGAAATGATGAGCAGGCAGACAAATCATATTTTTTCAGTAGTGTTTGCCTGGTGAGTTGTTGTGGGTGGGTGGTAAGTGATTATGTTGTTGTTATTTGTAACGTGGTGTGGTTGTCGTATGTGTGTAGGATATGGTGAAAAGCGCAGATGTGAGAGGGTTTGATAAGTTTGTGCGGAAGAATATTTCTGCCGGTACCATGTGTCGGTTCATGCATTTTCCGATGTGTCATAATGGACATTGGACACTTGTCGTATATGATACTGAGAGCGGGGACTGGAAGCATTACAATCCGATGAGGCAGCGTATGGACAGGGTGGACGTGCATTACACGGAAGCGCTTTTGTTGGTAAGTTGGTAAGTAAGGTTTGTTGCTGTGTGGGTGGGACTTATCTGTTCACTGTTGTATTTTGTTTGCATGTGTGGCAGAAGGATCGGGTGACGAACGTAATGAAACAGTCGCTGCTTGAGTTGGGAATGGATGTTCTTAGCATCGAGTCGGATTTTGATCATGTGCTGGAGGCTGTGAGTAGTTGCCCACAGCAAAAAGCGGAATCGTAAGTGTGGTAGTTATGAAAGTGGTGACCTGTTGTGTGTGTTAGGTGGTGAGTAGGGGTGTGTACTTCACATAGTTTTACTAATTTAACATAAATGTTGTTCAATGCAGGCTTGACTGTGGGATAATTGTGTGTGCCATAATGCGCCAATACGTGCACCAATGTGATGTGGAACGGACACTGCAAGGTTCCAACTGCAGCGTGTTGCGTGCAAATATGGTGAAGTCTTTTGTCAATGATCCGGTGCGGGGGTTGGCATAGTATATATGTCTGCTGGTGTTTGTTTTTGGGCTGATGGCATTATCATTAAGTTAGATATATTTTTGCGAAATGTGCATATGACAATTTCTTGTTAGAAAGGTTGTTATTCCCGTGTAGTTATTTAGGTTTGAAACATACTTTTAGTAGTTTTTGGTGTTGGTTTTTGAAGTTGTTCAACGTATATGTTTTGGTGTTGACATACAGTCGTTGTGCAGTACTTGTCACGGGTTGTGAATGAAATAATTTTGGTTGGACAAATAATTTTGTGTGTTTATTGCCGTGTATGTATGTTGGCGGGTATTATTATGTGCATTATACTTGGGAAAAAATGTCGACGAATGTAGCCACGTTCCTTTGGGACCGTAGGGATATTAGTAATGTGGTGTAACTCTTGTATGTTGTGGTCTGTGCGTTGCATGTAACGTATCTTTAAAAAACAATTCGAAATGTTGTTGAAGCTGAAAACCTTCTGAACATATAGCCGATGGATATAATATGAGAAGGAGAGGGTATTATTTGGCAGGTCGGTTGTATTAAGGTTCATGTGTGACTGCTTTGATGTGGCGTAAGTCATGTATGTTGTGATCTTGCATCTGTGATGGTATAATATGAAAAGGACAGGGTATTATTTGGCTGGTAGGTTTTATTGGGTGCACGTTTATTTGTCGATGTTAGGTGGGCCGATTGTGTTAATGTGGTTTTATAATGTGAATGTAGCATTATAATGTTGCGAATCAATTAGCCGAGAACTTGTGAAACGTAATAACAGGATACTAATAAGGTTTATGCGAAAAACAACAAAACCACAATTAAAAAACAACAGAAAATGTTGGTGATAAACTGAAAAAATTTTGAAAACATCAAAATTGTTACGGGCCATAGAAACATGAAGACTATAAAAAAAATGTTGTATTTGGAAATATATGTCGCTGCATGTAATGCTAAATTGGTTCTTTACACGTCTTTCTGTTGTGGTTCCCCAAACGTTGGCAACGGCTGCATCTAATTTGTTGAACTTCTTCCCCCCTTGAAAGCATTCTTTTTTTTTTTGGGCCTTCCCGGTGGTCGTTTGACAGCTGGTGGTTGTATGATGTAATCTTCAATGCTAAAAGGTGGTTTACCAGCCGTGGGTATGGGCTGTATGTTGCAAGCGTAAGAATTCCGATACTCCGACACATGGTAATACGGGTCGACTGAATCATAAAGGTCGAGTCCGCTGTTGCGAATAGCAACAACAGCATGAGCACAAGGGAACCCTTTGATTTGCCATTGGAAACATGAGCATGTACGCCTTCCCACATCAACCATTACTGATGGAAAAGAGTGGACCTCGAAAATCTCATTGTTGGACTGACTTAGAAGCCATGATCTGCCTGTGTTGTATGCTTTAACTAACCGATCTTCCATTTTCGGGCAAATTACACCAGGCCACGATTGTGCCTTTATTCGGCGTTTGGACATCTGTCGCATAATCTTGGTCCGAATACTGTCAACCAGTTGAGTGATTGGGAGGTGGCGTGCTTCCCGTATCCATGAGTTAAATGACTCGATGGCATTAGAACTCATTTCGCCATAACGCGAACCGCTGTCGGAATAGATACGGTGACTTTGTTAGTGATTTTGTTGGACATAAATCTACAAGGTGGCATCGTGAGCATGACACAATATTAATGTGGACAAATTTGAAGTGGTAACTGCGTACCGGAAATGCGCATTTGCCCAGTACTGTGGCGGTAAATCTTTTAAGAAAGCTGGTGCGACCTTGGGACTAGCCTTCATGAACTCCTCCAATTTCTCATTGAATGCAACAACTGTTGGTGCATACGCACAAGATCGGAATTTTGATAACAAACACGCGCGGTATGAACTGTTGACGTAGCGTAATTTGTCTTGCAAGTTACGTTGCAAATGTTCTAAGCAAAATGCGTGATGTGATGTGGGAAATATGGCTGGGATTGATTCCAGCAGGCCTGCGTGTCGGTCGGACAAAAATGTTAGTTCTCTTCGGCCGTTTAATACGTTTGCGAGGTGTCCCAGAAACCAATCCCAATTTGTATTGTTCTCCGAATCAACAATGGCTATGGCTAAAGGGAATAGACCTGCATGCAATTATTTTGTCAAAAGGGCAGTCGAGTATTTTCTTATAGAATAATGTGTACATTAATGTAAACAGACATGATCGAATGTGGCAAAACATGTTGGGCGTGGTAAGCAAAAAAACGTCATACCTTGGTTGCCATCTTTCGCTGTGGCGGCTAGCAAATTCCCCTTAAATTTCCCCTTTAGAAATGTCCCATCCAAAAAAAGCATTGGTCGGCAATGGGTGAAACCATCAATACATGCTTTGAACGATATGAAATACCGTGAGAAACGGTTGTGTTGTTCGTCGTACTCAATGTTGATATAGCTGCCTGGGTTGTTAGCCATAACTGCATCGCTGTACCAACGTAATTGGTCAAACGAGATTGAGTGTGCACCGAACATTTCACCACGGGCTTTTTCGACACCTAACCAGGCAACCCGATAGCTAACCTCCAAACCGTAATCTTTTTTCAAGTCGTACACAACATCAGTGGGACGTGTCAGGGGTTTGTCACGCACCCGTTCAGAAATTACATCAGACACTAAGTCAGAACCAGCCCTTGGGTTTTTGGGTGTCCGAACGGAAACACCACAAGTGTGCAAGCCATTCCACTTACGTACGTAGAAAAACCCATTGGCATGTAAAACACGTGCGTGTACTGACCACATACATCCCTTCGATTCGCGCATCATGCATATTGCTGTAATCCGAACAGAATCATTCTTAATATATTTGAAGCGAAATCCGCACTCCACCGCATACTTCCGAAGAACTGTTCGAAATTCAGCAGCTCCCCCTTCAAAACTTTGACCAACATTTCGAATTCCATTCGCCCATGGAGCAGACAAAAAAACCTTATCGACGTGGGGACAATATTTGTCCAAACAATCTTGTTCGTCATCCATATCCGACTCGTCAGACACCCCATCCGACAGACATGGACCAATGTGTACATTGTTGTTGGGATAGTGAACATTTTCTGAATATCCCGCACGTGGTACCTCAATGATAACATCAATGCATTGCACCCGAAAAGATCGAGCAAGAGATATCATGTTCTGCATATCGACATCGTTCTGTAATGTGAAGTTATTGTAACCTGGCATTTTGAAGAAATAACACAGATTGGCAGGTGTGAGTCCGGAGAATTTTTCGCAAACATGATTCACCAAGTCCTGAAATCGGAATGGGGCTTCCAAATTGACAACGACATTTGTAGTATCGTAACAACATATCAACATTACATGTGTATCCATCGGCTGTAACAGAACACAAGCCCACGAAATCAGAATACGAAAATTCAATAAGCAGACAAAGTCACACAACCTGACCCCAGAAATTAATAGTGCTGCTACGAAAAACACAAATTTAGATGCGCATACAGGAAAAACCCATACAAAATCAGCACCATCCCAGTCCCCACAACCCACATCCCATTGAATATACAAACATTGTAAACACATCCACGCAAAAACAAACCACCACACAAACGAAACCCACTAACCTATCTCCCCTCCGGCTAATGCATCACCACAAACATTGTAACTTGGCGTCACCGTACTGGTGCAAATCTAGTCCACAAAACAAATCAACAAAACGCATAAATCAACATCGCACATAAGTGCTGCATATGCCACCGAAACACACAGGCGGCACAGCACCAACAGTACGACGGCGCACCACAAACCGTACCAAATAAGTGGCTGACCCATCCTTTGAATCAATATTAAACTTACCAAATATGGTGTAACATTCCCAGGGAAAAAGGTCTACCCATGAAACATTGTAAACACATCCACACAAAGACAAACATTGTAAACACATACACACAAAGACAACCCGCCACACAAACGAAACCCACTAACCTATCTCCCCTCCGGCTAATGCATCACCACAAACACCCAAATTGATCATACCCCACTAACACCAATTCATACACATACCCAACACGTTAAGTAACATGACGTCAACGTACTGGTGCAATGTAGTCCACAAAACAAATCAAAAGAACGCATAAATCAACATCGCACATAAAGCATGACATACCTGCAAACCAACTGACATTGTCGAGGTTTGAAGTGCTGCATATGCCACCGAAACACACAGGCGTCACAGCGCCAAACAGTACGACGCCACAAACCCTAACAAAAAAGTGGCTGACCCATCCTTTGAAGCAATATTCAACTTACCAAATATGGTGTAAGATTCCCAATAAAAAACGTCTGCCCATGAAACACGTCCCACTGAACAAATTGAGGGCACAATCGTCAGAAATGAATACAAAAAATGGAAAAAAGGATCAAATGGAACATATCTATCTAGTAATAGGACTTATTGGTTCAACAGTTTAAATTGGGGATTGATTGGTATAGTTGTTTGTGAGGTAGGATTTATTGGTAAATAATCCTTTTTTATTTTCTAGATACACTTAATCTAAATATGCTTAAAATATATAATATTTTTTGCAATTTTCTTTAAAAAATTCACCAAATACAAAAAAAAAAAAATGAATACATTTTCGTATTTTGTTATGTTCAATGAATTTTTAAAAGATATTTGTATAAATTTTTTACTTTTTGAATATATTAAGATTAAGTGAATCTAATTTTTTTTTTTAAATTAATTAAAATATTATTAAAAATATAAATATACGAATTAAAAACTTAAAAAACTATTTTAAAATCTCAAAACCAAACAAGATGACTACAACTACTTTTGCAGATCTGCTATTGCTTTGCTAACTTTATTAGATTCCCCCTAAACCAATAACTTCATTTTTTTTGGCAGAAAAAGATTTTGATGACAAAACTTATTTTATTATAGCATCTCCAACAGTAGAGATATTTAGAATATTTTAGGTTTTTTTTTTTTATTACCTATTCCCGTCATAATAGGATGGACAACATAAGATGCATTATATTTCAAAAAACCAAGGGTTCTAGCTTGTATGATTAGTTTTTTAGCTGCTAAGTCTCTCATAATAAGAGGTGTTGGGTTCTCCCCTTATGAGTGAATATGGGGGCAAGACGTAAGTACTTGCAATTGCAAGTCCAAGATGCTAATCTAATAATTAATTATGTCAATTTAATAATTAATTACGTCGATCAATTGCAATCTCAAGATGCTAATCTAATAATTAATTATGTCGATAAAAACAAAGAGATACATTTTATTTCATCATTTTTTGGCATTTGAAAATTAAAGATCCTTAAAAACTAGATGAATCAATTTCGAAAATAGAGTGGGTTCAAAGTTAGGCAAAATACATAATATACTTTTGAGAAATTCTATGTATATCATATGCACCTTTGGTTACAATCTTTGTGTCATCGGTTATGACCCATTGTGTTGTTAGTTATGACATATTGTGATGTTAATTATAATATTATTTTAGTTATGATTTAAAAGTTATTTGATTATATCTCATGTGATATTTTGTTATAACTCATTTTTTTATTTTTAAGTAAGACTCCCATAATATTAAGTTATGTTATTTGTAATAATCAAACTCATAAATAACTTACATATAGTATTGCCCTATACTTTTATATAATTTTGTTAGGTAAAATACCTATTTGCGTTACAGTTGTTTTCTAGAGAATAAATATGGAGGAGTGGGATCATAATTCTTTTTTGCAAATTGAATAGTAAAAGTATCTTTAAAAAAAAATTTTAAGGGTTTTGCAATCATTAAGTTTTTATTAAAGATTAAATAAAAATTCAACAAATAGGTTAAAAAAACTCAACAGCTAAATTTTTTTTAAATAGATAGTCAAAAAATTTAAATAGATAGATATAAATTTAAATAGATAGAAGATAATTTAAACATATAGTCAAAAAAAATTAACATATAAATTAAGGAGTAAAATTATAAACAAAATATCATTCAAAACAATCAAAAAGATTTCTTACCAAACTATTTCATGAAGTATAGACCCCTCATTAATAAAAAAATATCTTCTGAACCAAATGTCCTAAGAATGGATTTATTACCAATTTTTTTTATAAATTATAAATTGATATTCTTAAATAAAATTGTAGGTAAAATTTTTAAATGTATAGTATTAAATTATTAATGATTAATTTATCTCTCTCTCTCTCTCTCTCTCTCTCTTTCGGTCTGACCGGAATGATGAACCATCACCACCGGAAGTTTATTTTTTTTGGTTGGGTTATTAGTTTTTTAGAAAACCAGTTGTTGGTGGCAATTAGGGGGGCATTTAAGAAACCCAATAATAATAAACTGCCGACCATCGTTTCGCTTTTTCTATCACTACTTTCTTTATTTATATTTTGTACCCACAATTTCTCGGATTTGGGTAGTTGAACTTAATTTTCGTGAAATCTTATTGAAAATAAATTATGGTAAAATTATCCTTAAAAATAAATTTTTTTGTGACAATTTTTTATATATGTTATAAAAATTGACAATTAGTGATTTTTTTTTGTCATGATTTTTATAAATTGTCGCTAAAACTTACAATTAATGACTTTTTTTATGACAAATTTTTTCCATAAAACTTATTAGATAATAAGTCCACTTATTATGATCTATACGTAAATACTCCCAGTAATTATTATTATGTAGTTAAATAGATTTATTTTGATAATTTGAACCGTTCTATCAAGTATAATAAATTAATCAAATATCTTTAACTTTTTTATCTACTCACATTTGTATCTATAAAAATAAATGACATTATGATTATGATTTAAAATATTAAAATAAATATATATATGAATATATGAAAATATTATCGATATTCAATTAATTTAATTTTTTTAAAAATATATTATACTCAATATATTTTAAAATATAAACTATTTAAATTATCAAAATGACCTTCAAAATGGGTCTATAAGACAGCACAGCCAGATCCCACACGGGGATACTCCAAGAGGGAGGGAAAGTAGCGAATAATAAGTACATCGACCTTGACACTAGTTGTGCGTGAAGTTGAAGGCATAGTCATGCGACAGGAAGGAAGGAGCAGGAGGGAGGATCCCAAATTGAGTGAGGTGGGTTTCCTAGTGGGTTTCCTGGTGGGTTTCCTTTCCCTCTTTTTTAAATGCCATACCGTCTCCCACTGACCGACTCCCCCTCTCTCTCTCTCTCTCTCTCTCTCTCAATGGTCCTATCTTATCTTTAAACCCAACGCCAAGATCAAAGATAAAAAGAAAACACGCAACGCAAGAACAAAATTCCCCAATCCCCCAATCTTGAGAAAAGCTGATTGATAAAAAAAAGTCATATATATATAAACATCAGATCAGAGAGAGAGAGAGAGAGAGAAGAAACGACAATAGTAACAAATTAAGAAGAAGATTGTGATGATGGGGGAGAAGGATACTAGGAGCAGCACACCCACAGGGACACGAGGGAATGGGGAAATCCAGGATAGCAGCAGCAGGAGAGAGCTCCTCGACATGGACATGGACGGAGAGCAGTCGTCGTCATCATGGAGACTGGACGTCAAACAGTTCACTGTCCCTCAACAACGTCCTCCCTCCGATCATCATCTTCTTCATCATCGTTTCCGCCGCCTCCTTCGCTATCCAAGTAAAACTCCCACCCACCATCTCACATCTCTCTCTCTTTTCTACTTTTCTTTTTCATTTTTGTCTGCGTGTGTTGACGCCATTCATTTTTTTATTTTATTTTTTTGTGCTGTTTTTTACATCATTAGATTCTTTCTTTCTTTGTTTATTTTTTTTTGAAAGTCCTGCTATTACTACCTATCAAAATTCTTTTACTCCCATTTCTTTAGGCTCTAACCCTAAACCTTAAATTTTAATAATATTTTTTTAGACATCCCACTTATTATTAAATCTATCCATATTCACAATGAAATACACATCCACACACATCCACCTGAATTCATTCCAACATATTCACACCTCCCAACCACACCCACTCTCTACCTCCCTCTCTTCTCTCTCTCCTCATCAGTGATGTCTCTTCTCTTTCTTTTCTCTCACTCTCTCAAACCCCCTTTTGTTCAGATGAGAAAGTGAAGATTTTTCTCTCTCTTCTCTCTCTTTGCTCACTCTCTCTCTTTCAAAACCCCTTCAAAATCTTAGCTTTTTCTCTCTCTTCTCTCTCCAACATTAACCACATCTAAAAAGTGGTTCCTGAAAACACAATGCATTTACTTGTGGGGTTGGTGTTCTTTGTCGATTAGGATTTCAACGACATGGGTCTCTTTGGAATTTGCCATTGATTGGGAAATTCAGATGAGAAAGTGAAAATTGATACGAATTGTAATAATAGAAAACAATGTATATATATGGAAAACTAATCTCTATAATATTTTCATAATATTTTCAGAATAGAAAACTAATCTACATATTTTCACAATGAAATGCACACCCACCCAATTTATTCACCACTGTGTAGCCGAAAAAATGTATTTTGTTCAGAACTGTTTTGTCGAACAATAATGATACTGTCAGCACTGTATGTCTGAACAAAATTTGTTCATCACTGTGTAACTTGAACCCATTCTAATTCACAACTTAAAATAACATGAATTAAATCTATTCAAAATACATAACTTAAATCCATTCCAATTCACTCTTTTCTATTCTAAGTTAGTTTAACAAAGAAAATTACATAACTGACTATCTGCATTAATGTTCGGAACCTATGTATTGAACGAAAGGATTATGTTCAGTACTGTATTATCGAACATAATTATAACAGTCAGCAAACCAGTACCGAACAGCTCGAACGAAATAAGAACAACCGAAAACGACCGAGAATGTTAATACAAGACAGATAAACGACCGAGAATGTTGTCCTCGTCCTCCATTACTCTACACAGTGAAATAAGTAATGAAGTATACGTTATACTTGAAGCAAAACTTTCAAGTTCAATAGCGTTGATGATGGTGATGAAGATAAAACATTCAGGATTTAAGATGATTATGAAAAATAATAGATTTAGGGTTTATGTTAGTTGGTTATGAAAAGTAATAGGTTTAGGGTATACAAACATGGAATACATATAGTTGGAGTTGGAGGTGGGGGTGGGGGTCCGGGTCCGATATTATAGAGTATTAGTTATTATTGATAGGTGGGTGTTCTATTTCATAATATCTTTTAATGTAATTTTACTTTAGGGTATAATTGTAATAAAAAAAAATTATAAAATTGGAGGTCCAAAGAATTTTGACAGGTGCTAATAACAACACTCTTTTTCCCCGTTTGTTTTCGTTTAGGGCAAATTACAAACAGCCCGAGGTTTGGTGAAAATACAGGTTTTCTTGAGGTTTGAGAAATTACATCCCACCCCTGAGGTTTATATTTTTATAACAAATTGCTCCCAGAGGTTTTTATTTTCATACAGATTCTCCTAATTTTCCCTAATTTGTTATGAAAATTTGACCCGGTGCAATTTGTAATTTTTTAAACCTCAGGAGAAATCTGTATTTTTATCAAACCTCGATAGGTGTTTGTAATTTGCCCTTTCGTTTATCATGCATAATAATAATAATATTAAACCTCTCACGGCCCGCCAATTTTTTAAAAGAGCTGTACGAGGATCCAAATAAATTATTAAATTTTCTACCAAACCTCAAGTGTAAGAAATTTGGTAGAAAATTTGATAATTTATTTGGGTGTATAGTATACACACTACACTGTTCTCTATAATATTGGTTTTGTTTTGTGTTGTGTTGGGTTGGGTGGCTGCTGCTACTACTAGGTTAGGTTGATGGTTTTAGTTGTGTGTGGACTGCTGAAATATCAAATTCAGAGTGTGGTCGTCTTGTTCCCTATTAATTACAATTCTGTAGTAGAATGAATTGCTTATAGCTTCATTCATCTACATCTACTAGTGTAGTGCCTTCACCTTTTGGAATTTTTATAATCTTCCAGGAAATAAATATTTTGTAAATCCCTCAATTCTACTCGTTTCGTTCATTTCACCATTTTATCTTTCTTTTGATTCTTGGTTGATGGAAAGCAAAAGCCGTAATTTCCAGCGACAATATTATATGGCAAGGTAGCATTTCAATTCAGTGGATAATGTGCAAAAGTCATGCAATTTGGTTCCTCACTATTTAGCACCTTACTACTATGAAAACTAATTAATGTCGCCTTTTGTATTATGTAGCTAATGCCTTTCTTGTTTAGAGATCTCTTTCTTGGGTTCGTCAATCAAGAGAGACAGGGGCCGGCCCGGCCATTTTTTAGATTAGCAATTTGAGACCCTCCCTCCCTCAAGCAATGACTGAAGAAAACTATGCTTTTTTTGTGTGTGTGAAGTTCCCCCCATCCCATGGAGTTGGTTGATTAACTCTTTATTACTCATTTCATCATGTTTTATAGTTATGTTTTTCCAAGAGATTCTCTATTCATGATGCTCCCCTGTTATTGAATGTCTCAACTGTCAGTCAGACTGCTCGATAAATACTATTCTTTTGAAGAGTAAAATATATGTTTGGTAATCCACGTCCTATGAACTCTATTAAACACCTTCTTCATTTGTATCTTGGCAAGGTTAAAGAAAATAAGGAGGGGTGGAAAAATATTTATTTATAGCAAACACATTTCAACATTTTCTTATGCTTTCCTTCATTGAAGCACTGCCATTTTTGGATTTTGTGACAATAATATGTATTCATTGTATAGATTTATTTTCATTTAACTGTCGTCACCATACAACAACTAAAAGAAACAATGTGCATGAGTGGTTCATCAGGTCCAAACTCGTTAATTAAACTGCACCTCCTTGAATTTTATACTTCTTCATAATTTTTGACTTCATGTGAAATTATTTGCTTTATGCTTTCTTTCAGGGAAACAAGGCAAGATTGCAGAATACTACAAAAAACAAGAAATACTCCTTGAAGGTTTCACTGAGATGGAAACTATGAATGAATCAGGTTGTTTGGCTGGAAATCCAACAGAGGTTGGTTGCTTGTGCTTCTGTTGTCATTTATATTATTTAGTATAAGATTTATATAATGGCATTTTTCTTTTCTTTTCATTCTTTGTTCCTTGTTCTTTTTTGATTCTGATAAATTATTGATATGTGAAAGTTAGATGTGATGGAGGTAAAGTTCAAATAGGATAAGATAGAACTGCCTAAGTTTACGGTGTTTTAATATAGGGCATTCTCTGTGGCTTCAGCTCCAAGCTGAGTTAGATCTTTCTGATTTATCATTAAACTTGAAAGGAGGAAAAAAAATCCCTACAGGTTTTACATGACCTCCTGTGAAACAGGCGGAGAAGAATTTTGTGAGTTTGGTTCTCTAGGAAAAGCAAACAATAATGCAATATAGCTACTATTCTTGTCGGTCAATATTACTCTTGAGCCCAGTGATTCAAGATTCAAGCACTCTTTAGTTTGCATAACATGAATTTAACCAATACAAGATAATCCTCAACTGTCACTTCAATTGTTAAATGTATTAGCTTCTTGTTCAGGATGAAATGAAGCAGCTTGCAAAGAGTGAGCGAACAGCTATATACGTGTCAAACGTAGCTAATTTGGTGCTTTTCGTGGCAAAAGTGTATGCTTCCTATGAGAGCAGATCATTGGCAGTTATTGCGTCAACCTTGGATTCTCTCTTAGACCTTTTATCTGGGTTTATTCTGTGGTTCACTTCCCATGCCATGAAAAAGCCAAACCTGTATCACTATCCAATTGGAAAGAAGCGGATGCAACCAGTGGTAAGTGCTCAAATTTGCCAAGTTATTCAATACAAGGTCTGGTTCATGATATTGGGAAACAACTCCAAGTAATAACTATATGACTTCTTAATCTCAACCATCACTGGGATGTTTTCCTTCTGGCTTTGTTTCTACTTTCACAATCTATTTCACCTTGTTTGGTTTAGTTTTTGAAAATTGATTTTGAGTTTTTGCTTTTTGTATTTGTTTGTCTTTCATAAACGCCTTTCATATTTTAGTCATTTTTTTTTAACTCTAAAAAGTATATTTTGAAGAAATCTGAAAGAAGTTCACTAAACACAAAAAAAAACTCAGAAATGTGGCAAGATTTAATGTTGACAACTAAAGATGGCAATAGGAAACTGTTTCTTCCAGCTTATGTTATATTGCTTTAACTTCCTGTTAAAACCTGCAGTGCACGACGAATGCAAATCACAGTATCAAAGGAATATATAAACAGAATACTATGTGACCGAAACAAATATAAATTAGCCATAAAACTGTTATGTGCCCTAGATCTCTATTATACCTTTATACCCATGCCAATGACAGATTTATCTTCACATTTAAGCTGAGATTGACCTTTTTGGGTGAATAGCTAAGATTGACCAAGCATAGTAAACCAATCACACCTAATTTTTTTTTTATTATAAGATTAGCCTTTTTTTCCCATCCAAAGAATCTATAATAGTCATGCTTCATTTTGCAGGGTATTATTGTTTTTGCATCAGTAATGGCTACTCTTGGATTACAAATATTGATTGAATCTGGTCGGCAACTCGTCGCAAAGGTAAGTGAGTTTTGTCTCAAATTGATCTCATGCCATCTGAATTCTTATCCATCTTGAAAACAAGTCGACCAAGATATGAATATAGGCAAAACTAGTTGAACTTGAAAGAACTTGATTTACTTTGTCAGTAGTAACTGCTTTTGCCAATTGATGTATCTGCTCGTCCACTGAAGTATGTCATTCATATGAGCAATTTCTAGTGGATGTAGCACCGCAAATAGAAGTTAAATTTGTACCAAATGCTTGGGAGGTTTATCACTTAGGTTATCTCTTTTTTTTTTTTTTGGTATTTTGTTACAGACTGCTCCTGAAAGGAACCTTTCGAAGGAAAAATGGATGATTGGGATTATGGTTTCTGTCACTTTCGTGAAGTTTGCGCTTATGGTCTATTGCCGAAGATTCAAAAATGAAATTGTTAGAGCCTATGCTCAAGATCATTTATTTGACGTCATCACTAACTCAGTCGGATTAGTTACAGCTGTCCTTGCAGTCCGATACTACTGGTGGATTGATCCTACTGGCGCTATAATTGTGAGTTTATTTTATAACTCATATCAAGTTTTTGATTATCAACTTAGTGACTTGGGTTCATCAATGCACAAGCCTTTTCTTTTTTGTTTTTATTCTTGTTTCCATTCACCTTTTCACCTTACTGTCATCAATCTGCAGTAACCATATCCCATATTACTGTGATTATCATTTTATTATTGCAATGATTCTTTGTGGAGTTAAACCATAGTTCTTTCATTAATTGTTTATGCAGATAGCACTATATACGATCACCACGTGGACAAGGACAGTTCTTGAAAATGTTGGGTCACTAATTGGAAGAACAGCCCCACCAGATTTCCTTGCAAAACTGACGTATCTGATATGGAACCACCATGAGGAGATCAAGCACATCGACACAGTCAGAGCATACACTTTTGGTTCTCATTACTTTGTGGAGGTTGACATAGTGTTGCCGGAGGACATGCTTTTAAGCCAAGCGCACAATATTGGCGAAAAACTACAAGAAAAGCTTGAGCAACTCCCTGAAGTTGAGCGAGCTTTTGTGCATATAGATTTTGAGTTTACTCATGCACCAGAGCATAAGAGCAAGGTGTGATGACATTGATGAGTGATGGTATGGATAAATGCTAAGCCGTTGTAGCTCAGACCCCTGAATAACAACATATAGATGATGATGTTTACAATTTTTTTTTATTTTTTTTTTTGAACTCTTTGGCTTGGAGAATGATATTTATCACTTTGATGAATTTCATGGTTCTTTTTTAACCATTCTCTCTACTGATCATTGACTCTTGTGCTGGTTGGTTTTTTACCTTTCTAACTTTATTTGGGGGGTTAAAAGAATAATATCTGATAAATATAAACTTCGCGTGTTATAAATTATAATAAAGTTGATTTAGGCTCTGTTTGGTAAGATCTAAACGGGATTTTTTTGGCTATCTTAGTCACAAAAGACAAAATATGTTATTTTAGGCACAAAAAACAAAATATCACATCCAACTCATAATCATTACATTCTTCTCTCACAAAAAAAGTCAAAAAAGTCAAAAAGTCCTTCCCAAATCAAATTTTTTAGCCCAGGCTAAAATAGCCAAAAAAATCAGAAAGTCAAAAAGTCAACCCACTTCCCAAACGGAGGCTTAGAGTCTTGCTGAATTTTCCTTTTCTTGTTCCAATAGTAATTTGAAGTGTCTACAAATATATCAGTGCGTTTGGTTTGAATTTTTTAAATTAAACTTTTTGAAAATTGAGATTTTTTTTTTCATATTTTTTTGTTTTCAGTGAATATTTTTTAAATTTTAAGTATTTTTTTTTTTAGATGCATCTTACTTAGATGTGTCTAAAAAATAAAATATTTGTAAAAAAATATGTTAAAAAATTAATAAATACACAAAAATATTAAAATGATACTGAATTTTCGTAATTTTTTATATTTTAGGTATTTAGTGAATTTTAAAAAAAAATTATAAAAATTATACTCCCTCCGTCCCAAAATAATGGTCCCTTTTGGGGAATCCAACTTTTTTTGGTAGTACAATTATTGTACTTTTAAAAAGTTGGTTTTCCAAAATTATCCTTTGATAGTACACTTTTATGAGAATATCAATGTCATAATTGTACTTTTTATATTATTTATGAATTTAAAAGAAGGGCAAAATGGAAAATTTATATTATTTTTGTACTTGATTTTTGAAGAGGGACTAATATTTTGGGACAATGAAAAATGGAATAAGGGACTAATATTATGGGACGGAGGGAGTACTTTTTAAGTATATTTATATTAAGCGTGTCTAAAAATTAAAAAAATTATTTTAAATATTAAAAAAATTCAATAAAAAAATATGGAAAATAAAAAAAATAAAAAAAAAGTAGAAATGAGTGGAGGGGTGAACGGTGTTTAGGGAAGGAGACATCGGGTCATGACCTAGTTCAAATGGTGCATTTTACTGTGGGGGAAAAAGAGTGGGGGTATTAATTAATGTCACTATTAATGATGTGGCATCCACTATCATAATGTTGTTGCATCTGTTTTTTTTTTTTTTTAAAAAAAATTGAATACCACATCATTAATATTGTTTTAAAGCACCACTTTTAATAGTCTCTATTATTATCAATGCGGAGGCACCAACCAACATTACTCGACACGATAAAGTGAATACTTGATAAAAAGAAAGTACAAAAAAAAAAAAAAAAAAAAAAAGGCAAAACAAAACAAAGCATTGATGAAATATATATCCAAGCATAATGTTCAACAAAAGTACGTCTCAAGCGCTAGACCTCTATTCTTGATCTCAATAATAAGATTTTCATTAGAATTATTATACTCATTGCTAGAACATTTTGTTTTTAATCTTGTTTATTCATTTATTTATTTTTCGTTTTTATAATTCTTATTGTTGGGACAAGATATTGTTCAATTTGTGAGAGTGATGAATTGGGAATTTAAAAATAATTTGTGTGCTGAGAGTTATTAGTAAAATATTGATATTGCTTTTATAGGGGGAGGAATCAATTTGAGTTTTTTTTTTTAATAAAACAACTGAAAATTAAAGAAATTCATGTGTAGACGCGCCCGCGTGGGCCTCGTGCTACTGTTCGGACTCGATTTGTGTCACGGTTCTTAATCTGAACCAAAGAGTCCAAATCAAAAATGGGACTAAATGGAGCATAAAAAAACTTTTAGGACTAAATGGTTCAACGTTTCAAAAACTAGGACTTATGGGTAAATTTTCCTAAAAAAAAAGTAGAAATGAGTGGAGGGGTGAACGGTGTTTAGGGAAGGAGACATCGGGTCATGAACTAGTTCAAATGGTGCATTTTACTGTGGGGAAAAATAGTGGGGGTATTAATTAATGTCACTATTAATGATGTGACATCCACTACCATAATGTTGTTGTGTCTGTTTTTTTTTTTTAAAAAAAAAAAAAATTGAATACCACATCATTAATATTGTTTTAAAGCACCACTTTTAGTGGTCTCTATTATTGTCAACGTGGAGGCACCGACCAACATTACTCGACACGATAAAGTGAATACTTGATAAAAAGAAAGTAAAAAAAAAAAAAGGCAAAACAAAACAAAGCATTGATGAAATATATATCCAAGCATAATGTTCAACAAAAGTACGTCTCAAGCGCTAGACCTCTATTCTTGATCTCAATAATAAGATTTTCATTAGAATTATTATACTTATTGCTAGAACATTTTGTTTTTAATCTTGTTTATTCATTTATTTATTTTTCGTTTTTATAATTCTTATTGTTGGGACAAGATATTGTTCAATTTGTGAGAGTGATGAATTGGGAATTTAAAAATAATTTGTGTGCTGAGAGTTCCTCCGGGAACTCCAAACGAACACAAACATGGAAGATCACCGTGTGTTCAAACAGTGACGTCCAAGTCTTGAGGACGGTCAAAAATGGGGTGTCTACATCATGAAAAATACAAAAATCATTAACACAGCAAAGAGATATTGATAACTCACAAGGGTAGTCTAGTTGATTGAGGACAAGGGGTCAGGGACTTAGAAGTATACTTTACTTTAGGTCTCAGGTTCAAATCTCACCCCCAGCTGGCTATTAACGGGCCATTGCGTCTTTGCCTAGTCGATCGGTTCAAGGCTTCGAGATTAGTCAAGATGCGTCACTCCGAAAAGGTACTGGCCCGAATACTCAGTTATCAAAAATAAATATATAACTAAATAAAAAAAACAAAGAGATATTGATTATTATTAGAATTAGAATTAGGATAGGGTAAGGTCATTGTGGTAATTTCTTAAGTACAAAAGTGAATTAGGATTGAGTGATTTTACTTACACCATCAATCCAACCCTTTAGGGAACTTCTATTTACACGCACCATTTCTATTCTTTGCACATCCTTCTCACTACACACACCTAAAAAATTAATCCCAAATTATTTTGCTCATTGCAGGCACCTTTTATTCCACATCTACCCTCATACACACACACACACACACCCAAACCCAGCTCTACAAACGGTGGAAAAACACACCCATTCCACTATCAGCCCCGTCTCTCACATATGTCCATTTCTCACAGTTTACCTTTCGTCCCCAAAAGCTGCATCCATTCATTAAAGACATCTCATTGAACCGTTGAAGGAATTCTTCACATTTGGAGAACTTAGGTTAGTTTACTTATTTCAATCATCATTCCTATTTCATTTGTAATGTAGGGTTTGTTTTTAACATTTTCGAAACGAACGAACGCATAACCCACTGAAATGAGCAATTTGTTCCTCATTCGGAGTTGGTTTTCTAAAATAAACAACTTGTTCGAAAGTAGAATTCCAAAAATTATCATTTATTTCAACAGTAAAATTTCGAAATTTTTTCATTCTTTCAACATTCAACTTCCGAAATGAATTTGGTTTTTCGATTTTCAACTTCTGAACAGAATAGATATTTTCGGTTTTCAACTTCCGAACGGTTTTGTTTTTTTTTTTTTTTTGCCCCCCTCTTATACTCATTAAATATATTAATTTTTGCAAGTAATATGAATTCTAAATGTCAACAACGTGTTCCACCTACTGCTTCAAATAGACGACATCATGAATTGGATGTTGACCATGAATGGGGACGAGGGTGTGGGCGAGGACGAGATCAAGGTCGTGATCCAGTTTCGGTAGAATATGATATCCCTAGTGCCAGTCAAAGTCGGAGCCGAAGCCAAAGACGAGTTGAAGGTGATGATACGCCTGACATTGCCGTGGAGGATGCCCCTTTACCTGATTCTCCTACTGTCCAGGAAGAGAACCTTACTCATGCTTTTCCAGGTGGACCGACTGATCCATCAATACTACGGAGTTTCAATAGTCATGTCGCCGCAGCTGTTTGGCACGGGGAGGTAAACATTCCTGAGTAAAGGTGAAATTCATTTGTATATGATTTTTGTGTGTGTTATATGGTAGTTTCTAATGAGATATTCATTTATTTTATAGGAATGAGGGCCTCTAAAGTGTCATAATCACTCTTCGAAGATCCTTGCATCGGTGGTCAGTAGACAACAACACCAGATTCAAAGTCATTATTGAGCGGTCTGGGTTGTTACAATTAGCTCGTTACACTTATCGGTTCGTCAACAGGCTTCTAATCTCCAGTTTTGTTGAGAGATGGCAACCTAAGACAAACACATTTCATATGACAGTTGGTGAGATGACCTTGACCTTGACCGTGGATGATGTTGGCACTATTCTTAGCCTTCCCATTGTAGGCAGATCAGTTAGCGTACCAGAAGTGATGAATCTTCATGGAGTTACACTACTGGTTTCTGGCTTGGGGATTACTGAACGTGTAACACATGATAAGGTTTCTACTGCTGGTGGGAATTCAGTTAGGCTTGAGTGGTTGCGAAGTCAGTTTGCTGGTGTCACAGATTCAGACCCAGATGAGGCTATACAGTGCGCTATTAGAGCTTATTTGTCATTTATGTTGGGATGTACGCTCTTCAGTGACAAGAGTGGCGGCAGGGTTCTTGTTGTTTACCTTGACTTATTGATGGATTTGGGATCCATTCATACTTACACCTAGGGTGCTGCTGCATTAGTGTTTTTATACAGACAGTTAGGGTATGCTAACTGGTCCGGTGTTAAGTAGATGGGTGGTTATATGACTATTCTGGAGGCGTGGATTTATGAGCATTTCCGAGCATTCCGATCTTACCAGAACATAGGCTACAATGAAAACATGCCACACATGTACCATTGGATATCTAGAAGAGATGCAGGTTCCTCCATTGATCATTTGAAATCTTTTCGAGCGGAGCTTGACAGTTTGGTAGTGACTGATGTAAGTTTACTCGTCCTGAGATAATTTTAACACTTTATATTTATCTTACCCTTTATATACTTTAGTTCAAAAACACTTTACGTTTACAGGTTATTTGGGATCCATACCACAATTGCATAGACCGACATCCATATAACCCGGTTACGTTCTACTATGGATGCTTGAAGTGGTTAGAGGTAGTCGAACCCTATCATCTAGATAGAGTTCTAAGGCAGTTTGGCAGGGTTCAAACCATCCCAGATGCACTGCTGTCTCCCACTCGTGGTGCTCGAGGCAACATATCTACACAATACATAATCATGTATAGATACTTGGATAGGATCTAGGAGGCTTGGGATAACCACGTGTTATCTGAGTAGCAGAGGAGCACACCAGTTCATCAGCCTTGGGAATACGTACCGGGTTACATGGATTGGTATAAGAATATCACGGATCTATATGTTAAGCACACTGATGAACCATGTGTGCATGAACATCAGGATTTCAGCCAACATGCCGATGTAATATATTATCCTCTTTTATGTATTTGTAACTTACTTTTGCTTTTCTGATAAATTCCGTAAAATGTGATATTCATTTCAAATGCAGCGTATTGCACATGCACTGAGAATTGCACATCTTATCATTCAGGATGGTTATGAGGACAGGATTTGACATCTTCATTGACTTTACCAGGCTATCAAGGCTATGGCGCATATCCTTGAAGGTCAACACATTAATGAAGCTGGACCTAGTTCTATTGGACCTAGTTGTGTTGGAGGTCGCTTTTTATCTTTGACATTGACATATAGTCATAGGACTAGTCGTAGGCATACAGATAATTCGTGACATGTTATTTGTCAGTTGATGAATTTTTTGTGGTGTTTTTGTAAGCTGACATTGTTGTACACATCTTTTAATGACATTATAAAGATATTTTGTTATTAGAATAGAATGGAATGGTAACAATGATCGTCAACATTGTAAATGATATTTTGTTATTAGAATGGAATGATAACAATGGTTGATGACATTATAAATAATATTTTCTTATTAGAATGTAGTGGTAATAATGATCGATAACATTCAATCCATGCAACAGAACACATCAACATCAAAAAACACATCCATTAATTTCTTCCGTAGTTCTAACATTGTCAAATGCATATATGTGTCATTCGACATTAGCAACATCAAATGTCTCTCAAGTAGCTACAGTATCATGAATGATGTCCTTGAAATGCTGAATACAGCGCATATATGCATCATCCCAGTCGACAGCGCAAGGGTGACGGTATTTTCGCCAATTAGTGGCTATAGAAGAAACTGGATAGCCTGGCTACAAAAAAACCTGCAGCAAATGTCAATTGAGTTAGTGGTAATACCTCATAACTTTCTGTATATGCACAAAATGATAAGTTTCTCTTATACCTAGACAAAATGATTTCTATTGACAAACCCAATGACAATCTCATGTCTATCAAGTTGAGGTACTGACACTGTTCTAAGAGGTAAAAAGGTGAGAGATTGCTGTAATGACAAGTGGTATAACACAAGATTTTAGCACAATGCAACAAGATGCCCCATGTCTGGCATAGTCATCCAATGTGAGTAGCCAGGACTGTCTTCAAAGTATGACAATATGCTTGTCAATTCTTCAAACCTTGCGTAGGACCCATAGAGTGTAATGTATTCCTCTTTGTGTGTGTGCAGCTTACCCAAAAGATCACGCCTAACCTGAGCCCAATCATCTTCTGTATGACCAATTGAAGCAACTATAGCCCAGAAATCACAATTCCCATCTATAGCTACATCCTTGGCAAACTTAATGTATGGTTTCAACCTAGAAGAGAAAACATCAACATATGTACTAGGTTTTACTGTTCTGGTAATGTACACCTTCCCCTTTGCATTCATCTTCTCATTTCCCTTAACAGGTCACTTCTTCTTGGTTTCTGGAGTAAAAGCTAATGTAGTGATTTGAGTGTCCCTGGGTGAGAAGGAATCATGTCCAGATTACACTAACTCAAATGCACACGGGTCACGACGGGTAGAAACATTGATCTTCTTACGACCCCAAGAACATGTTTTGGGCTTCACCTCCGGCTCAACTAGAAAAGTGCTTCCTGGACATACAATCTCTTTCAATTTCTTCAAAAACTCCAATCGTATAGTTCTATCAATTTCATTGAATTTTTTCACAAACAACTCTACTTCTGCATGACAAGTCACCTTCGTTTCCTTTTCTTTGTTGCATATAGAGATATGAAGTTGCCTCCACTGTGAGTGTATGGTAGCAAGTGGTATAGAACGATCTTGTCTGATGTAATTAGAAATTTCATGGGCACAAGGTAAACCATGAGTGTAGCAAAGGACGCATCCACAAGTTTCAACATCAATACCAATAGAATTGGCTCTATTACTCTCTACAAGCAAATACTCTAATGCAGAAATAGACGCATTACCCCGTAGCTCCCTAAACTGAGAAGGCTTGAATTGATGTTGCACAACAATTAGACTTTTCTCAAACAAAGCCTTGATATCAGTGTGTTGCAACTCAAGCAGACTGTGTATTTTTTCAAATGATGCCTCAAATGAGACTTGACAAGAACCCAACTGTCTTTTAAGTTTTGCATGTGCACTCTCAGCCCTGTTCAATTCAATGTAAGTCAAATAAAAATCAAGTACATGGCCCTTATTAATAACTTATTGAACAAAAGTAATCTTTCTGGTTGGTTGTAACATTGCCACAATGCATATACGTGTCTGTCCATGTCGTCACAAATTTCTCCTTGTAAGGAACCAACCAAGTATCCATGACGTAGTTCACTGCATCGGGATAACTACTGAATTCCTTAAGTAATGATCTAAGACGCTCATCGTATTGAATTTCATAAGATGAATACACTAAAGAGTTCCACTCATGGTTAAACTTCTCTCATTTCTGCTTTGTCTCAAACATTTTCTTGCATTTGGTCAATACATTCTTACTGATGTGCCAACGACACAATAAATGTCTGCCACTCGGGAATATCTTTTGTATAGCATTCATGAAAGCTAGCTTTCTATCAGTGACAATAATCACTGGCAAAACAAAACCATCCATGACATCATGTAATGTAGTTAACACCCGCGCATAGTTATTGGCCCTCTCAGACTATAAGTATGCGAAAGCTACCGAGAAAGTCATTTCAATTGATGTCACTCCCATAATTTCAAGAAGAGAAAGACGATATCTGTTGGTTTTATATGTGCAATCCATAATTAATATACGTGGGAAAGACTGAAATAAGTCCAAACTGGTAGGATGTGCCCAAAACAAATCTGTCACAGTCATCATGGACTCTTCACATCGATGGCGCTTAATGTAATTATAATTGGCCAATTCACCTAATAAGTGTTGCATCTGTGATCTTCCAGGTCCCTATACCACCCTGTTTCGATGGCGTACATTGTAAATGGTTTTAAGTGTGCTTACATTGAGGGTATCTCGTTGTTTCAAGGTTACTAGGATATCTTTTGGCCTAACCATGCTCTTTGACATTTCCATTAACAATGCTTTCTCATCCTTTGACAGCCTCCTCGCATATGAATGTCCCCCAAGGTGCTCCGCAGGTGGATGGTTATGCAATCCGCATACTACAGTCAATGTCCATTCATCATTTGTGGTAGACCTATGAGCCCTCATATCAAAAGGACAACCACACTTCTTCGTACCGGTTATTCTTGATGTATTGTTGCCATCATGTTTTAACTTCTTTGTTGCTCTATATTGGTCACTCCTCTCATAAGCAATATACATCATGGGTCTTTTTTTCCCTCCACCATAGTCTGATGTTTTGATTACAATGACCAAACTATTTCTCTTTCCAACTTCACATACCCAGTTGAGCAATTCATCCTTACTTTTGAATACCTACAAAATCAAATAAATATTATAAAACATTTACATTTGTTGAGCAATTCAAAATACAATCATTATAATTTCGTAGAGTGAACATGTTCAGTTGCGAATTGAGTAATGTAATCCAACACGCTATTTGCGTAAACCTGACTTCCTTGAGTTGAGACATATTCCTGCAAGTTTTGTATAACATTACAAATTTGAAATGGTATTATAAAAACAAATTTGCAATTTGAAACTGTAAATTTAGTATGCAATTTACGAATTTGGAATATAAAATTGAAAAAAAAAATTTTACTTCATTCGAAAGTACAGTGTCAAACAAAATGATAATGTTCGAATGTAGTTGTCCGACTTATTTTCACCGGTTCGAAAGTTGAATGTCGAAAAATTTAAATTATTTCGGACAACAACTTCCGAAATTACGTAATTATTTCAGTAGTAGACTACCAAAGAAATTGATATATTTCGACCCTAGTTATCCGAAAGATGCTAGGAAAAAAACAAAAAAAAAACGACTTTCACATAACGAAGCTCATCTTTCCTTGGCTATCTTTCTCATGAACAATTATCTGCTTCTGAAAATCTGAATTTTCAGAAGGGAAATCTTCCATAACAATAATGAATGAGGATGAGTTTTAGTGTGTAAACTAATTAAAAGCTAAGAATGAAGAATGAAAGTGTTTAATGTTTGTAAACTAATGAATGGAAGCTAACAATGAAGGGTTTGAAAGGATGAGGATGGAATATGGAAGTGAGCTTCGGCAGTTTCAACGTGGAAATGGAGGTGGATGTGCAATGGGAAGGTGCGTTTATTTGAATTTTGTGTGATATCCATAATAATGATTTTACTTAAGATAAAATTATAATAAAAAAAATATCATTAAGTGGGTACAAAAAATGGAAAGGATGGGTGCAAATAGAAGCTCCCAACCCTTTACCCTTCAAATTTTATATTTTATATTCGACAATGATAGGTAGCGCAAATTTTTGTGGTTCAAATGGCTCAAATCTGTCAAAACGACGTCGTTTTAACAGATTTTGAGTGTAAAACGACGTCGTTTTGACAGATTTGAGCCATTTGAGCCACAAAAATTTGAGCTACCAAACATTTTCTTTTTATATTTTATATTTTTGTAATTTATACAATTCCTTTATTACCCTCATCTTTAATTTTTCTCCATCTCTTCTCATTACACCCAAAATCTAAAAAAAACCCTAACCCTAGTTCTACTGTCCAACACCACCACCCCTATCGGCCTGTTACCGGCGCCGCTACTCCGCCACCCTTCGTCTCTTCCTAGCCACTCTCCGCCTCACCCCTTTCCTTCACCGTCGAAGCCTTTCTCCATCTTCTTCTTCTTCTCCAAATCTGTTAACAGATTTGGTAAACAGAGATCGTGTTACGCGATGAGACCGCTAGTGAAGTTCGATTCGAGTTTGAAGAGTTCAGTACTAAGGTCACCGCTCTCTTCCTCGCTGCTCATGCCAGCAATGTGACGTTCGTCCGGAAATTACTGGTATTGCTTTTGTATGATTTTTATTTTTTGTGAAGACGAAGCTCGTTATGTTTGACAATCTGTGTGTGTAGATATATGATCTGTCTTCATTTTTTTTTTTAATTTTTGGAATTAGAGGGTATAGAGTTCGAATTGTGTGTTTGTTTCTCATTTTGCTCGAATATTCTCATCAATTTGATACTCTGAGATGTTCAAATCAGAGCTTTTCTGACTTTTTTCCATGATTATCTGGGAGAGAACTTAGGTTAGGGTTTTTTAGGTTTTGGGTGTAAAGAGAAAGAGATGGAGGAAGATTAAAGAGGAGGGTAATAAAGGAATTGTATAAATTAAAAAAATAATAATAATAAATAAATAAATAAAATTTGAAGGTGTAAAGAGTTAGATGGGTGGTGTAAGTAGAATCAGTCATTAGGGTTTCCTCAGTCTTTATATATATATAGATATCGCATTGGGTGTACATACTTTCATTGGGCGAACTTTCACCAGAGGCAGCTCTCTCTCTCTCTCTCTTTCTTTCCTCCTACGCAGATCCCAGAAACAAACGCTGAATGAGCATATTTTGTTTGGGGATGGTTTCAACATCATAGATAGATAGATATAAAGAAAAGAAATGGCCAATGATGCATAGATGTATTGTCCGTACCATCTGAGAGTCTTTTTTTCAAAGACTCCATTGATGAGTAATCTATCTTTACCTTTCTGAGGCTTTTTTTCTTCTTTTTGTTGCGTGTGTGTGTTTTGTTTGAAATTTTGTTTTGGTTCTTATAGATTGATTAGATTTTGTGTGTTTTTTGAATATTATTATTATTATTATTATGTATGAAGGAAGGAAGGAAGTGAGAAAGGCAGTGACGAGAAAACAACGTACCTATGAAATTATGAAAGCTGTGTGCTTATTGATGCCACAAAATAATCTCAGCTCTCTGAGCCTCCTTCAATTCCAATTTATTATGATATGATATGATATGATATGATATGTATTTGCGTTGCGTGATTTGCTTTTTTTTACTTTGTAAAGTTTAATTTTATATTTTAGAAAGAAAACCAAAGGAGGCAACAAATTAGAGTCTCTGATGCACTTATCGTCAGTAGTGTTTTCAGCGCTGTACGTTGCCGATAACGATTGTTGTTATTGGGGGGCGGAGATTCTGGCATCGGTCGCCTTTCTCTTTCTTAACGGCCCTATGCATTCCTATGTCCCCTATATTATGTATATATATATATATATATTGTTTTTGTTAATTTGTTGTTTTTGTATTTGCACATCTTTTATGCTGCTTTGTTTGGATGATATCATGGTTTTTTTTCCTTTCTTTCGGGAAAAGATCTCTAAAATCATACCATCTACATTATGTGGACTTCTAAAATTGCGTACAAGTTAAGACACATAGGAGTATGACATAGCCCGTGTATGATGAATGTAAAGAGGGAGGGGAATTCTATTCTTCCATCCAAATTGTGAGAATTTGTAATTCAGAAAAAAATAAAAATAAAAATGCGAATGAAATAGATGCACAACTGTTTTTATATGATTTAAAAAATAAATAAATTTTAAATGTTAAGCTGAATTTTGTGAGAGATATAACAAAAAATTAAAAATAAAAAAGGACAACTGTTATGGTGTGTTTGGTTGGAGGATTTGGGGAGGGATTTGGAAAGGGAAAGGGAAAAAGTGTTATGGTGTGTTTGGTTGGAGGATTTGGGGAGGGATTTGGAAAGGGAAAGGGAAAAAGTGTGAAATTATGTGAAATTTAGGCATTCTTTTTTCATTTCTCTTTCCAAATACTTCTTCAAATTCCTCAACCAAACACAACATTAAAGTATGGAGAGAATGTGTTTGGATTTGGATTTAGCACACAATATAGTGAAAAACCCAACCAACCCCATACTACAAGCGATGTGCATTCAGCCATGAAAAAACCACCTCTAAAAAGACTCAATTATGTACACAAGATTTGTTGATAAATAAGATTGAATTGAAGCTATCCCATCTCTTCAAATTCAAATAATAATAAGAAGAAGAAGAAGCGGCAGCAGCTAGTCCACTCACCCAAGGTGGCACAGGCACAATTCGTAGATTATTTCAACTTTCCAAATCATCATTTGGACTAGCTGAAAAGTAACCCAAGACTAAAGTGTTCAAAAGCCAAGGCAGTTTGAGTTTCTAATTAAAAAAACCCAGAGAAGCAAGGTGATGGTCAATTGGTTTTCACCCCCTCCCAACTGGGTGAAGCTTAGCACTGATGACTCTGCTATTGGGCATGCATGTTGGAATGGCAGGAGGAGCTGGAGGTTTTCTTAGATCTGAAACTAGTGCATGGTTGCTAGGTTGACATTTTATTGGCAAATCCACAGTGCATACTGCCGAGTTATGGGCTTATATAGATTGAACTTCAAATAGTTTGAAGGCTTTTGCTGCGCTTTGTCATCGTTGAATCAGATTCTAATGAAGCTATTCAGGCCATCAAAAAGGGTTGATGCCAATTCAATCTATGCCAAGAGATCGAATCAGATTCTAATGAAGCTATTCAAGCCATCAAAAAGGGTTGATGCCAATTTCAATCTATGCCAAGAGATCAGGGAGATGGTCCAAAAGAATTGGCAATGTCATCTTCAGGTGTTATGTGGCACCAAGCGAACTCTTGTGCTGACTCTTTGGCGAAAGAAGCTTGAGGTCAAACTCTTCCTTAGGCTTGCCCCAGCCTCCATTGTTTCTTTTCTAGATAGGGAGGGAGGGACTGCCAAGGGGTGGGAACCCCTCGTGTTATTATGTGGGCTTCGGCCCTTGGTTTTAATACCAAAAAAATAAAATAAAAATCCAAGGGTGTATACATGGTCAAAGAAAAGGTGTCAAAGAGGCTGAGTTTATTGATTAAACTTTTAAAAAAATATTTTGTTAAATTAACTAGAATTTGAGAGGAAAAGATGTGTTGTTGCAACCCAACCCTTCTGTGAAAAAAATATTTGAAGCCTTTTTACCAAACATTAATGCTGTGTTTGGTTGAGGGATTTGAGGAGGGATTTGAGGAGGGATTTGGAAAAGGTAGGTGAAATGTGAAAAAAATATACTTATATTTCACATAGTTTCACACACTTTTTTTCTTTCCCTTTCTAAATCTCTCCCCAAATCTCCCAACCAAACACAGCATAAATGAAATGATTTGACCTAAACTCGAAGCAAATTTCAATTGAATAAGAACCCATGCATGCACTACCAAAGGTCTCAGAGAAATATGATTTAAATAACTTATTTACAACTAAACTTGCAAGAAGAAGTAGCTATATCTCTACCAAGGTGAGTAGGGAGGGACAAATGAATTATGAGGATGGATGGATGGATTGGTTGGTTGTTTTCTCCATTTGGTCTTTGAATAGAGTTTTAAACTTTCCAATAACAATAATATGATTTCTTTCATACAAAAATAATATACAATCTCACTTTTTAGACACAATGATTTGTAAGTGATATGATCAATTGATGATTCCAGAAAATATAAAAGAGAGTATTGTCTTTAACAACTCAATTGATTGTCACATTATTGGGTTTAAAAGTTGAATTTAATTTTTATATGCTCTTCTTCATGTTCTTTTCAAATATCCTCCTAGTAGATTTCAATAGGTCATACTCTAATCTTTGTTTTCTCCATCCTTCTACGTTTTTTTTTTTCCGCTCAAACTATTGGGACACCACCGTCTATGAAGCCAACCTCCCTCTCTCTCCCTCTTAATTGAAACTGCCAAAGCTCAGTGACACGGTCTTGATGGAATGCTCCATCTGCTACTTTTGGCCTAGTTTAATCTCAGTTTCGCTTCTTATGTTCCTAGTTTGTTGTTTTTCCTCTCTTGTAACTAACTTATCTTATATTTACATATATTATTATATCAATGATGTTCTTTCTGCCTAGATAAATCAAAATCAAAACTTAATAAAAAATATGATTCCCTCCAAGTTGAAAAGAAAGAGAACTGAGATAATAAAAAGAAAATGCCATGAATCTCAAATAATCTACCAATTTTTTTTTACCAGACATCTCACATGAGTGTGCGACCCACACAAATTCACATGTGTGTGAATCCCATACGCATATGAGAGGTTTGGTAAAAGATTTAATATATTATTTAGGGTCTCTAGCATAACTCATAATAAAGAGGAAAAGGTCCAGACTCGATTCATTCCATGTTATGCTAATAGTGAAATGAAAAAACAAACTAACAAACATCCCAGTCAAAATCATGTTCAAAAACAGAAATGCTAGTCAAAAAATTATGCAGACATGAGGCAGGATCAAGGATCTCTTTTAAAATTTTGCTGATCCACAAACTTAAAATATACAAACAACAAAACCAGAAAGACATCCCAATGTGTGATTACTATCAAGCAACAACAAAGAAATAGATAATCCTCAAGACATAGAATTCAGGCATCAAGCCTAGTTAGTGGTTGGTAGCTGTGGTTTGATGTCATGTTGACGAAATACCATATACATACATCTCATATCTAACTGACAGATTCATACTTACAGATTCATTACTTTCCAAATGATCCAAAAGACAGTGGGGTTCTCATCAGCAGCAACTGGTAAGAAAGCATCCATTCTATGCTATACATAGAACAAATTTTCCACATGGACATGAGGATCTTTCGTATCCTAGATGTAAAACAAACGCACCGGAAGTTAAGACTGCAATAGTCAGATCAAAATGCAGGTACCATAACTTCCTGCAAGGTTTCAAGAATATAAAAGGGTTTCTCAGATATAGATCAACAAAATAATTAGGTATGTTTTGGGCAAAAATTCAGATACAAATACACAAAGGGTAACTTACGTGTTCCAGATTTTTTAACTTCTATGACTGGGCGTTTACACACAACTTCTGCAACATTCAATTCAAAGGAGGAAGCCTATTCAAAGGTTTAATAGTAGCAACTCCACTGTAATCAAGCCTTGTATATTTCTCAAAGGTGACGTTCAACCTTGCTGTTTTAGCAGCTTTGTGTAATTTCAAGACCATCTCTGCACAGTCCCTGCAGCAACCAAAAAAACAGTCAATTTAATGACAAAGTTGCACTTGCTGAAGTTAATGTCAAAGAGACGTGCCTGATTTGGGATTCTTCATAGCGTGCATGATTGGCTAGCAGTGGCGTCCATCCTGGAGTCTTTTGAAGTGTACACCGAGCAACATAGATAGCCGATGCACATAGCAACGAGGATTTGAATTTTAATGCTTCATATTCAACCAAACATTGCTCAATGAGGTAGAATGCTAGATGCTCAAGCTGGCATTTTTCACATGACAATGGTATTAGTGAATCTAGAACTGTGACTAGAACTTCAGATTGAATACAAACTATAGGCTCATATGATGTAAGATCTGGAATCAATTGATCCTAGGATCTAGGATCTGAATTGTAGTCCTAAGTTCTCCACATAATGTGATATGCATAGATATAAAAAGAATGTCAATCCCTTCACAAACCTCAGTTGTCTGAGCAGAAAAGCATGGCCTTGAGATTAATTGACTTCTAAGTTCACCACATACCTTTGCGTCAGACTGAGAAGCCTTAAGAAACCTCAGCATGAACATGTAAGGAGTAGGAGCATTTAGGCGGAATTTCAACTTCTTTAACATTGCTTTCTCCTGGAAAACAGAAATCATTGCCTAGCATTAATAATACACCAAGAAAGACCAAATTTTGAAACCAATTTCCAATATAATGCTACTCCATCGGTTCTTTTGTGTGACATGTTTTTTTTTTTTTTTTAAAAAGCAGGTTTCCAAAATGACCATTGGTGTAGATTCATAAACACCATTTGTCACGAGAATCTCATCCCATCGAGGAACAAACCCTATCATTGGAAAAAAATATAAAAGATATTGCATGTACTACTACTGACCATTCCAAGCATTTGGTCTCTTGTATATGACTCTACTGAGATGCTAATCAAGTCTAAAACCTGCAGCCAATGGTGAAATATATAAAGAAAATGATTAAGCCCATCTTCACCAAAAACACATCTCATCAATGAACAACAAAGTGAGTTGGATGTGCAAGATTTTTACCCTTGGATGCCAGAAGTCCTCATATTTTGATGCCAGCAAGAGTGCAGTAAGACCAACCAACTGCATTTCATTTTTCTTGATTGTAACCAATGATAGATATTGGTCCAACAGTGTGACTGTTAGGTATAGTGTTTCTTGCATCAAATCAAATTTTAAGTGAACCTGTAACAAGGGTGACTGAGAGTAACTAAAAAAGAAAAAACCAAAAGGGGCAGGGTATTTGCTATTGAGCAACACTCATCAGAAAGAAAAAACAAACGAAAAAAAGATGAAGAAGAAGATGTTTAAGAAATGGATTAAAAGACACCGATATGTACTTCAATTAGCCAGTTGATCAATATGCCTCGCATTTCAGGTGTAATCTCTGTCTGAATTGCCATGTAATTTACCAGGGATTGATTCTGTGCCTGCAGTTGGATGCCATGGCACTATATGTATGAGTATCAAGCTACTTGCAGTGTGAGGACCAATTCAACATAATAATATTTAAAAACTAGGAACACACACACAATGCCCAAATTTGGATAAAATGCAGTGATGAAACTAGTCAAGAAGGAAGCACATGGGAGAAGAAGATTATATATATTAAAAAAAAAAAAAGACCTATATGAATTTGCTGTTATCAATGCACCTATTCTTTAATTATCTATGCACCTACTAACAATACCTAAATTATTCTTGTGACTGATATTATATCTCTTTTCAATTTTGCATTAATGGTATTGATTCTATGAATAATAATTTTCTAAAACTTAGTGAATTTTAGATGTATAGTGTAAATTTAGGTTCTTCAAAATATTTTGGCAGCTTAATCAAACTACTATCTGGTAACATCAACAAGCTAATCCCAGCTGTACTTTTTTTATAATAATAGTTAAACAAGCCACTAATAACCAATATGAAAACAACTATAAAGGTGGAGTGGAGGCCTCTAAGATCAATGGCAGAGATTTTGATCAAAATCCTAGCTACACCATCTTCTCCTTTACTTGAGCTACTACTCCAGCAGAAGTGTTACATGACAACATGTTCAAGCATACATGTACATATGTGGGTGTGAAGTGAAAAAGTTATGAAGCCTATTACCCCAATAAAATCATGTTGAAAGCAACACTATTACTAAAAAAACACACAACGCCCAATTAGTACACATTAATGTGTGTTTGGGAGGGGAAAGGATTGGGTATACACCTAACCTTTGGCATAGTGCTCAAAGTGGTTGGCCCGAGACTTGAACCCATAATCTCAAAGTTATTAGGCCAAGGTTTTACCAGAGAACCAAAATAACTACGAATCAAAAATATAGTTAAGAGTAGAATATAATATTACCTCCATAGTCCAATAATATTGATAAATCTCATCAACATATTCAGCAACTTCAAGGTGATTGCAATCATCATAAATACTTGGTAAGCTTTCTCGCTTCATAACCACAGCATGTCCTTCTAGTAACTGCAAAAAAGACAGCTACTTGTTTTTGAAAACCACAACAAAAGAAAGATATTAAATAGGAAGAAACACAAAATGCCAACCTTTGATCTTGCCATCAGTAAAGATGTAAAAGATTTCCTGCGATCAGATTTCTTTGTGGCAATGCTATCTGACACATTTGTCCCTACATTGCTTTTGCAATCAGATGGAACCTCCCTCTGAGCAGGTTGTCCATGTGGAGCAAAAGCACTGTTTTCAGACAAAAATGTCACCACTTCATCCTTGCCTTTGCATGAGATAGCAGCAACCGCAGTTGATTTTTTTACACCAGCTGTGCACTTGGATTTTAGAGTCATCTTAATACCGGACACTCTGTGCGTGGTTTTCACAATTGGCTGGATCATCAAATTACATGAGTATTAGGTTCACTATAATTGTTGGAAAGATAATGCATGTATTTTGAAATACTAACTGAAATGCATTGACGTTAGAAACAAAACCAAGATAATTTTACAGTGTACTTTTGATGGAATGTATCCAGAATATAAAATGTTATAGCATACTTAAAGAGCAGACATGAATGAACAGACAAGCAATAAGTGGCAAAAATAAAACAAAAGTTTAAAGCAATGGAGAAAAACTGCAAATCAGGTCAGATACAGTTACAGAAAATAAATCATTTGGTAGCCATTTTCAACATTTATGAAAATTATTGCCCTCAACAAACAGCTGTATTGATCAAAGTAGACATAATTGCTTCAATGGCTCAAAGCCATAAACTATGACAAGCTGTTAAAATCCACCTACAGCAATGGAGAAAAACTGCAAATCAGGTCAGATACAGTTACAGAAAATAAATCATTTGGTAGCCATTTTCAACATTTATGAAAATTATTGCCCTCAACAAACAGCTGTATTGATCAAAGTAGACATAATTGCTTCAATGTTTATACATTAAATTTCTACACAAGCATCAACTATAAGTACAGGAAGCCTGAAATGAGAAGCATAATGAAGCTTAACATAGACCCCAAGAAAAAGTATATGAAGGCTACCTTCATATACTTTAGGACTTTAAAATAATTGAAGGGCAGCAGACAGGGGGAGTTGCACATGCTTTAGGAAAATTTACAAAAGGGAGAAGTATTTTTCATTACAGGTTTCCTGGTCTTTCAAGTGACAGACTCCAATCCATCACATGGAAAATATGGAAGGATTGAATCATATTCAACAAAGAAGATAGCCTGCACTTTTTATAAGATGGGTATAACCTTAACCCATTTTCTTTTGAACGTGATGAGATTTTATTTGCAGGACCGTACATCAAATACAATAGTTTAAGACAACCTTACCTCGAGTCTGATCATAATTATTTCGACAAGTAAACAAGAGTTGTAATCTGGGGAAAGACAAAGTAGATGTTTTTAATCAAGCTAACTCAGAAATAAAGACAATTCACTATTTCACTGGGTAAAGGTATTGCTTTCTGAAAGAGTTGATGCTAAGATTTTGCGGCAAGAAAGATATACCCTATAGTCCTATACTATTTTCAAGATGACGGTATTGACCTTGAAAGTAGAGAGCAGCTCTAAGAGTTCTTTGTGAAATGTTGCTGTGTATATTGAAGTAACTATGGGGGTGTTTGGCAAGAGCTTTTCTTTTGCTTTTTGGGTTAAAATTTACAAAAAGACAAAATAGGCTAAAATAGCTAATAAGACAAAATATCACATCAAACCCATAATCATTTCACTTTTTCTCTCACAAACATCACATCCAACTACAAAAAAATTCAACTATCTTCCCAAACACAAAATTTTAGCCTACTAAAATAACCAAAAACTAAAATAGCCTACTAAAATAGCAACTTCCCAAACACCCACTATATTACTTACTGCCTAGCAAATTTAAATTTCAAAAATAAAGAAATCATAATTAAATATGGCACTTAATAATCAAATCTAAAACATTCCATGGATTTAACGGTTGACATTTCCCAATTCCAAAATCATATGAGGTGATATGACATCCTCTTGAATCCGAAGTCATTGAGAATACCTAGAATTCGGGAACCACCACCCCACCCCCATCCCACGCTTTCTCTTACTATAAGAATTGTTTACTTCTTTGTTGCATGCAAAGCTAAACATGTAAGTGGATCAAGCACGGTATTGCGTTCGAAGGGAAAAAAACCCACGTATGTAGCAACTGGGTTGACTAATTCCATGATAAAGTACATTGTTTAGATATTAGTGGAGATTTTGATTTCAGATTTCTACATCCCATGATTAACCCTATAAATTTTTTCTCTCTCTTTGGCATGGTGATCTAGAAGCAGAATTGATGCACAAATGAGCTTATTTACCTAGTCAAATTAGATCTAATGAAGTCAGAAAATATGGGACAACATAACTGCAATGAAAATGTAGAATGGCAAGAGAAAAGGATATATATAGATAGAGGGGTTAGATACCTTGACAGATTTTCTTGAAAAAGCTTGGGTGTCCACCTTAGGCTGACTTTTCGAAGCCCTATAAACAAACATCCAAATCCATACTATAAATAAAGAGAACTATTACCTTTGTTCAACAATTTTCAATAGTGACTATAATAATTGTAGTTGCCACCTAAATATGTAAAAACCAGATTGGAAGTAGAATGACATAACACCACATATAAAACTTTGTGTCCAGAGGTCTGTCTATCCATCTACATGGTAGGGTCTAAACGGACCCACTCTCATATAACCATATCAAGTGGGCTTCAATTTACAAGTTTAGCTGAAACCCATTTCTGATGTCTTTAGGATGCTAGCAATAAAATATCCAAGTAAAAATAAATTTTGAAGCCTATAAACATCACATATTTTGTGCCCATGCCTCGTATATAAAGCAAACATGCAACATCGGTGTACTTGTGTAGAAAAGCATGGATGTGCAAGAAAGCAAAATGTACAATATACTCCCGTAAACATGTAGCTGCTTTTCATTTCCAAATACCACTATTTCAACATTAAATTAGACCAATATAGTCCCAAATCCTAGCTGAAACGTGTCATAGAATATATTACATGTAAAATGGTAAAACTATAAGTGTAGTGGGCCCTCCATTTTGGATTCACAGTACCAGGCTAGTTAAAACTTAGTACCCTGTAAGACCTATTATCTGTCATGAGATATGACAAACAAGCAAGAACATAATGACAGACTCTTAGACAAATTTGATACATGTTCACATAGGGTCATCAAGGAAATAGTCTATAGCTGAAATAATTCTAAAGGGAAAACTTACTATCGAACAATAACTCAGCTACATGCAATCTAATAACTTGATACTCCATGTATTACAAAGTATCAAAGAATAGCCCATACAAAGTGCAAATCATAACCTACTAATCCAAATTAAGAGCAAAAACCATCCAAATGAACAGACATTTTATCCAAAAAGAAAGTAATGAGAAGTTTAAAAAAAATTGTGAGTGCATTGTGTGAGCTTTTCAGTGCAATTACATTAACTGTCAAAATATGTAACATTTTAGAGCTAATTTTGCTCACATTATAATGAAACCATCACTAGCTCGATTCCTCCAAAGATTACTTCTGGCATTGCTTACTTGGGGCATCACTTTCCTACCAACTTTCGGCTTAACTGCAGGCACCAAACGGTGAAAAACATAAATTTTATCAGGTAGTTATCAGCAATGCACTCATGAAAATAAGTATTGTATCCCACCAGGAAAACCATAAATCCAATTACCTATTTGCGAATTTTCAGCACTTTCCTACAAGCAAAGAAATATTTACGAATTTGTAAAAGGAAAAAAGGAATTTGTAGAAGAACCAACAAGTAAAGAATAATTCATATTAAAAGGTAGAATAAACTCATAATATGAATTCACCACAACCTTTTTATTGCTTGTATCAACCTGGTTAACCCATTTTGACGCCGGTAAAGACTTCCTTCACACAGAAATAAACAACAGCTTGCATAAATGGGATGATTAATCTTTTCATTTAACATATATACCAAAGAAATATGTTGCAAACCCAGAAACCTTATAGGTGGCAGAGGGTTCTTTGCAGTTATCCTAACAAAAACAATAAAAGATAAATCAAAATTTTCATAGCAATGAATAAATAAATAAAATCAGAAAACAATGGGAGGAAATTAAACTAAGCGTCGCATACCGGCCATCAGTATTTCCTTTGCCCTGACACATGCTCCTCGAGTCATCAACATAGACCTTCAAATCTTTAGTCTCTACAATTGTCCAAAACAAGAAAAGCAAATAATGCACTTTTCCATCAGATAACAAAAATAATAAAATTTCATAACTGATCCTACTTACCTCTCTTCAAAGTAAGGTAACTGGCAACAGCTTGCCTTGTGTTTTCCCTCACTTTTCCCTATTTCACAATAGCACAAATTTGAGCACATTTTTATCATGAGAAATTTGAGAACTTTATTATTTCTGAAAAAAAAGGTTATCAGCGTATAAAAGTTGGGGTGCTGATATTGGCTTGCCTTGATATCACGATTTCTCACTTCTGCTGCCTTGTCATATTTTATCATTGACAATCAAACAGTGCAAGAGTTGCCTAAAGTTGCAAACTATATTTTATCTTGCATGAGATACCTCCCACAGCATCAAGTAAGCATTTAACAAATTTGCTCGAAAGTATTGGGACTATGGCTACAAATGAGCCAAGCCAAGTTGAGTTTTGGAGTGTTCAAGCTCGGCTTGTTGAAAATTAGTTGAGATTAGCTCAGGTCGTCTGGTGTTTGATGAGCTCCAGCTTGGTTGACACAACTCGATATATAAACGAACCAAGCTTTATCTTGAAAAGAAAAATCAATAGAGAAACCTAGAAAAATCTAGAGAAACAGATGAAGAGAACCTCTTTGCCATAAAGAGGGACAAACTACACATATACATGTATTGTGAGAGAAATTTAGAGTGAAGAAAGATGTTTTGAGGAAGAGAGAGTGAATGATAGAATTGAGCTCAGCTTTTTTGATAAACGAGCCTAATTTTATGCTTGATCTTGAGTCAAATACACAATTGTATGAGTCGCAAACTACACAATCAAATGAGCTATAAACGAGCTGAGATCAAGTCGTTCATGAACAACATAGTTCGGTTGCAACCGTGTTTGGGACCTATAGTGCTCTCTCTTGATTTTACTCTGTGCTCTCCATGGGACTACTTTTTCCCTGTTCAGATAAGAAAACAGATTCCCCCTCTTGCAAATATATTTTGAATCTTCCCATCATCTAACATGAATGGTTTGTTCATAACAAAACTTTGTTTCAAAAGAAACATATATATATATATATATAGGCTATATATCAAAACCCTCCCATGAGTTCACCTCTATTCTGATGTTAGCATTCCATGTCCATGGAAAATTTATTAAACTATTCTTCTTCTTTTTTCTAATTGAACTATTCTCCTAATATCTAGCAATGGTAAAAACATGATCATAATAAACCATAATGGTACAAATAAGCTCATAATTGGATGCATGATTTAAATATTATGCTGCTATAGCTTCAAAGAATAATTGAAGGACGATAAGTCATAAAGAAAAGACATAAATAGTTGAACAAAAAAAATCAACTAACTAAGCAAGCAAACAGTAAGATTATAATAAACCATAATGGTACAAATAAGCTCATAATTGGATGCATGATTTAAATATTATGCTGCTATAGCTTCAAAGAATAATTGAAGGACGATAAGTCATAAAGAAAAGACATAAATAGTTGAACAAAAAAAATCAACTAACTAAGCAAGCAAATGGTAAGAATCTTTCAAATTTGCTTAGCATACCATGATACGGTTACTTGATGAAGAACTTGCATTCCTCGTGCCTGAATCTGTTGATACACTAGAAAATGTCCATAATAAAAAGAGGATTGACAACCAAACGTTAAATTTAACCCAAAAAATGAAAATTTAAGCACTAACCATCAAGACTATAGCTTTTGATAACTAGCTTGTTATAAGAAAACGCAAGACAAAAGCAATTATTTTAAACAAATAAGCAATAGCGTCAGTTCCATTTGCGCATGTGCAAGTTCCCATTTATATACAAATCCATTAAATCAATAATTTCATTTCAGTGGAAAACCGAGTAGAGCTGCGTATAATTTTCACTACAAGTATCACATGTTTCATATTGAATCATCATAATTTATGCTTATCAAGTTTAGCATGCATACCGTAAAAACATACAGTGGTTTGGAACCATCATGCACTTCAGTCCTCAAAAAGTTGCCCCGAGAGAGAGAGTGATTTTGAAAAGTAGGTAACCAAACAAAATTTTGAGATTTTTTTTGAAAAAATTTGTTTGGTTTGATTACTCTTGAAAATTTGTTTGTAGAGAATTTTTCCCAAAAATTTTTCTGAAAAACAAACCTAACAAGCCCACATTTTTTTCTTTTTCCTTTCAAGTGATGGCAACACTACATAATTTAAATCTTCTAATAAACCTATAACTGAAAACATGTTTTGAGCTGCAAAGAAACAAAAAAAACATACAGTGGTTTGGAACCATCATGCACTTCAGTCCTCAAAAAGTTGCCCCGAGAGAGAGAGTGATTTTGAAAAGTAGGTAACCAAACAAAATTTTGAGATTTTTTTTGAAAAAATTTGTTTGGTTTGATTACTCTTGAAAATTTGTTTGTAGAGAATTTTTCCCAAAAATTTTTCTGAAAAACAAACCTAACAAGCCCACATTTTTTTCTTTTTCCTTTCAAGTGATGGCAACACTACATAATTTAAATCTTCTAATAAACCTATAACTGAAAACATGTTTTGAGCTGCAAAGAAACAAAAAAAACATACAGTGGTTTGGAACCATCATGCACTTCAGTCCTCAAAAAGTTGCCCCGAAGATTGCTTACATCAGCCAACACTTTTCTTCCAACATTTATTTTGACTAAAGAAGATAAAGATACCATTAAAAGGTTTCTTAGCAGAACATCACAGAAATTCTAGTGAAAGATTTAGTCTAGATTAGACTTACTGGAACCATCACGTTTAGCATTACTCTTCTCCAGAGTTTTGGGACCTCCCTTCACACCAAAAAATAAAATGAAGAATAAAATAAATACATACTAAAAAGACAATTTTCTTTTACAAAGTTCCCCACACTACCACCCACCCAACACCATCTTGCCAAGTAACAAGGAAATAATTGGGTACAACCTTAGAAACACTAGCATTGGTCTGAGTAACCCCTTTATTGAGTGGAATAGATTTCCTTCTGCACAAAAGAAAGCATTAATGAAGAATCAGAATATGTCAAAACACAATATCATCATCCTTATCTTTCAGTTGAGCAAAATACTTTTTTTTTCTTTTTTCTACAACAATTAGACAAACAGTAAGAAATCTTATATTAAATTCTTAGATGTTTCAATAATAGGCCTCATGCAACTATTTTGCCTTTGTGTCGGAACATCATTTCCTAACTCTTGACAAGAATAGATTATATATATATATATATATACACATATATTTCCCAAGGTTTCCAAACAATTTAAAAATTTCAAAAGGACAGTCGGCCATATTACATACCCTGGCAGCATAAGGGATTCCCTTGATGTTCCACTGAAGAAACCAAAATATTAGTATCGATTATTTAATCCCCATCAATGGAAGTCAAACATAAAAAGACACCCTGAACTAAACTTACTTGCATTGTGTATTACTGGAATCACCACCACGAACTTTAACCTTATCATTTTCTGAATACACCTTGAAATTTTTTACTCCAACTGTTTTCCCAGAACAAATGAGCAGATAAATAAAAGAGATAAAAGAGTGTATATTATAAAAAAGTAATATTTTAAAAATAATGACTAGTGTACTTCCACTCTTATGGGTGCCAGTGCCACGATCCTTGTCTTGATTCAACAATGTGCTTGAATTTCCCTAAATTTAAAGAGGAAGAAACAAATTTAACTACTAATGCACGCAAAGAGAAAACGAATTGATAGAATAAATAATAATTAGTGTTTCAACATACCTTGACAGCGACCATTTTCAGTTTTGGTTCTTTAAGATGTATAATAATACTTGTTGTTTGCGTTCTCAAGTGATAAACTAATTTTGCCTACATAGATGTGACAAAGAAGAATCTGTCAATGCTCTCCTACTCAAATAGTTTTCCCCTAACCTAACCGATGTATAAGAACGTTGGAATAAAACACAAACAAATAAAGAACAACTAGGGTTTGAGAGGAGAAATAGAGAGAGAAGATAGGAATGCAATACACTACAAAGAGATCTTGTGTCACCTGAACCGAAATCAATTCCAAGTCATGTGTTAGCGATCTTCGGCAGAATAGAGATGGAGAAGGAGAGAATGAGAGATCTTTCGAGAGATGGAGATGGAGATGGAGATGGGGATGGAGATGGAGATAAAATTGCAATGAGTTCTTAGACCGCCTCTTTCAATTTTTGAATAGCATATGGTTTTACGTAAATATCCTTTACTCTCTTTTTCTTCTTCTTTTTTGTTTTCTTGGAAAAATTACACGTCAGCGGAGAGTTGAAATTTTATTTTCAGATTAATGATAAATATTATACATAAATATTAAAAAGTGAAATCATAAATTTTTTCATATTTTTGAAATTAATTTTTTTATCTGTCAAATTTACATATAAAAATATCTTATTCATCTATATTAATTCAATGTATGATTTTTATAATATATATATAATGATATTATATATATTTAGGTCAATTGGATTATCAAGGATTCCTCTTTGGAACTATGCTAAAAGATCTTTTGGTCCATAGGAAACAAATGATATATTTTAATCCATTGAAGTTAATTTAATTTAATTAATTAATTAAGTGGTTTTTCTTTTAAGCAGATGATGCTATACATCCCTAAATTATTATTTTTAAATTTATTTACATTGACATGTTGTTTTTATTGATTTATAAATAAATAAATTATTAAAATGTAACTATCAACATCATTGGCATTCCCTAAATAATTCATCTTTTTATCTTTTTTTCATTGCATCACTTTTTACTTTTTTGTATATTTTTTTTATAAAAAATTAAAAAATATACTTATTTAGATCATTCTAAATCACCCTTAAATATAAAATCTTACTAATCTTAAGATTTTTATGTTTTTTATAAAACAATAGAGCTTTCCATGCGAGCTCAAACATTTATTTCATTGTGAGGCATGGTCACTAAAGGGTTGTTTGGGATGATCTAAATAAGTGTATTTTTTATCTTTTTACGAAAAGATGTACAGAAAAGTAGAGAGGTGATGTGATGGAAAAAAAATAAATCGTAGTTGATTAATCGTAGATTAATCGTAGATGACAAGTCCTTTAACGTTGATTAATCGTAGATTTGTTCACATTTTTAATGGAAAATGCATGAGACTCCCAGTGTGAGTGCTAGGGGTATATATTTAATGATAACATAATGTGATCACCGATGTATATATTTACATTGCCCTACTACTATTGTTGTTTTTGGATTTGATTTTGTAAACATCAACGATGTGAACATTCACATTACTATTCATTAATGGATAAACTTACATTAGTAGACACTGGCGTAAACATTCACATTAGTGTATAATAATGTGAATGTTCGCATTACTATTAATTTCTCAATCAGTCATATTATGTTGTTGTTCACATTAATGTGCATTGATGTAAACATTGACACCAGTGTTTTGCTCATATTAGCACCAAAACAAATGTGGAACACATATTACTAGGCAATGGTGTGGAAGTTGACATCAAAAATGTGAACATTCACATTACTGTTCAGTATTGGATAAGCACACATTAGATCAGTTAGTGAGTAAACATTCAAATTGTAACATCAATGTCAGACTTGTTGGTGTTGTTGGTTGTTAATGGTCATGAAATAATTACAATCCAAACTATGGATGGTTGCCAACCCTGTTTTGGTTACATGTGAATTCTTGTAAGCCTGTTGTAAATAATAACATCATATTGTTTCACTTGTTATTGATTAACATCAATGTCAATATGCACATTCTGAACATAATGTTAATATTCACATTGTAACATTCTGAACATAATGTTAATATTCACATTGTCAAATTCATATTGAATATTCTCACCATATATTTGGCTGTGAACATTCATAGTCAAATATATAAGTGTAATGATATGAAGATTAACATCGTGTTAGTTTAATAGTTGTAATGTGTGACTGTTCTCACATCTTTATGTGAATGTTGCTTTGTCATGTGCTATCATCTCTTCACGTGAACATTTGCACCAACTATTCACATACTATTTCACCATCACCATCCCATTATTCACATGGCATATAATAATTTATACTTATTATCACTATTCATTTGTGAACAGTAATATTAAATTTGCTTGTATTTGAACAAATAGGTCTTTCCCGTAGATTTGATGGCAAAAGAAAAAGAGATGAATCTCGTGCTAAAGGTAAACCCGATCAAACAGCTAGTCCTGAACAAGTGAACATGAAAAAGGTCAACTAACGGTCAAATATTATTGGATTGGTGAAACTATTGAAGGCTACAAAATTTACAAATGGTCAATTGAAATGCCTTAGGAAAACACCATTTTGGCCCTTATTTGATTGTTTGATAAGTAATGAAGTCGACCCCAACCATTGCATGAAATATGATGATGTCTTTATACGTATAGTGCAGACATTCAAGCCATCCAGTGGAAGGTTTTACATAGGGGACAAGAGCATTCAGATTTTTAGAAGTGATGTATCACTTATTTTTGGGGTGGATTGCGGCACCAAGCCAATGGACCTCTCTTATGGTGCAAAACCAACGGCCGGCATCATACACCGAATGTGCAAGGATGTCGGTCAGTTAAATGCAACAAAAATACGTGAAATTCTGAACAAAGCATTAAAGGGCACAAAGAAACAAGACAATAAAGAGGTTACAAGATTTGTTTGCATGTATGCATGCATCAAACTGTTCTTTTCCACGTCCAGAGAAACAATTGGATGGGCATTCTATTCATACATGGACCCATTAGACAACATGATCGAGTATGACTGGGCTGAGAGCATCCGGGCAACCCTGATGGGGTCAGTGGTCCAAAACTGGGGAAAACCAGAACGAGTCACCGAATATGTTATGTTGTTAATGGTAAATCTCATAAATCTCATAAATCGTATTCTATATTTAATATGAGATTCACGAGGTCTGTCCACTCATGTTGTCAGCAAAACAAATATGACATACACATCGGTATGCACTGGTGGCAAGGTTGGCATAAGTACACACAGATATGAATGTTCACGACAGTGTAGAATGTTAGGAACATTCACATCAATGTGTATTGATGTAAACATTGACACCAGTGTTTTGCTCATGTTAGCACCAAAACAAATGTGGAACACACATTGCTAGGCAATGGTGTGAAAGTTGACATCAATGATGTGAGCATTCACATTATTGTTCATTAATAGATAAATTCACATTAGTAGACACTGGTGTAAACATTCACATTACTGTTAATTTCTCAATCAGTCATATTATATTGTTGTTCACATCAATATGTATTGATGTAAACATTGACACCAGTGTTTTGATCATGTTAGCACCAAAACAAATGTGGAACACACATTACTAGGCAATGGTGTGGAAGTTGACATCAATGATGTGAACATTCACATTACTGTTCAGTAATGGATAAACACACATTAGTAGACACTGGTTTAAACATTCACATCAGTGTTTATTAATGTGAACATTCACATTACTGATGTTTGTTATTTATTTCAGTACTGGTTGTGTGAGCACACAACCATCTTACAACTTCGCAAACCTAATGTCATTCTGCGATGTGTGAAGTGGGACCTCACAGCCTTATATACCAACATGAAGTCCATATCTTTGGCGAAACTTGGTTTAAATGAGGTAAAAGTACAACAAAAAATGTTGTGCCCATTCACATAGTAAGACAAGGAACCATGTAACTAACATAATGTTTCCAACTCCAGGTGTATGGCGGCGAGTGTAGACACCTCATTTTTTACTGCCCTTAAGACTTAGGTGCCTCAGGTTGATCACTCAATGATGAAGTTATACTGTATAAACGTTTGATTTCTTCAGCAAGAGGAGCTCTAAATCCCAACCTTACACCCCATTTTAGACCAAAACGATTTTGGCCAAAATCATATTAGACCTTAAAACCCTCTTTTTTAAAATATTTTTTCCAAAAATTTCTACGATGTTCCGAGACTCGCATTTCGTTAAAAATTGCACTTTTTGTAAACCGAGCAAGGACAAAGTGGAAATAAGTGGAAGAGGGGTGAAATATTTCAAAAATATTTTAAAACATCTTATTTATAGGTTTGGAGTTGAAGAAAATTGGAGGAGAGGGAAGAAACCTAGTTGGGGAAGAAGTTGGGCATAAACCGTTAAAAGAGAACCGAGCAGCCTTCACTAAATTAGGTCTATCTTTTTTCACACTTGGAATTTAGTTGTGAGGCCACTACCATTGGAAATTGGACTTCTGGGGCTTCATTTTAGATCCAAGAATCGCCTAAAGCCGAGTCCGGATGAGGGAGATATGGCTGGTTGAAGTTAGGCATCCATCCGATTAAGCCAAAACTGAGCGACCTTCACTAAAATAGGCATATCTCTTTGTACACTTATAATTTTGATGTGAGGCCGCTTCATTGGAAATTAGACTTTCGGGGCTTCAATTTAAACTCAAGAATGACCTGCAAAGGAGTCCGGATGAAGGAGATATGCTCATTTGAAGTTAGGCCTAGAAGCAGATTTTTGATGGCCGACCGGCCATCATTGGCGGCCACCACTGAAACATGTTGGCTAGCAATGAAAAAGCTAGATATTTTTGTGCCAGTTGTCCCCCAAAAGCTCCAGCTGTCTAGGGCTTGATATTTTCGACCTGAGGGGCTGTTTTTCTATATATAGAAGGCCTCTTTTCTTGCTTTCAAGGTTAGAAAATATTTATGAGTGAAATATTTTTGGAAAAATCCTCTCTCTCTACAATTCTCTCTCTTTTTTGCAACTTACATAGCCTATGCCCAAACACACCAAACCAAACCTAGAGAGCTTCTTGCTGAGGTAATTTGAGCTTGGATTTGAGCTCTTGAAACACTTGAAAGTACGGAAATTGGTGGTTTTTGGCTTAAGGGTTCACTCATCTCCAAGAGATATACTTTCTCTTGCCTTTGTACCATCTTTACATCATTTGTTTTCCATCTTTTCTTACTATTTTTAAGCTCTTTAAAACCTGTTTTTATGGGCTAAAGCTTGTGGTTTAAGGCTCTTAAAGGTAGAGGGGTTAATCACCCTTCTTTGAACCTTGTTTTCTAAGCCTTTCCACTTGTGTTTCCCATTCTTTCATCAACTTTTTTTGAGCTTTTATGTGATGATAGGGTCTCTCTCTTTCTTTTTCCCTCCTCTTTAGTTGCA